CGTGTCCCTGCTGGGGGACTGTGACAGTAAATGCACGGGAAAGATCAGACGGCTTTGACAGTCCTGGGATTGATGACTGTGCTGGTAGAGATGGCAGTGCAAGAGTTTGTTCTTCTAAGTCTGCCACTGTTCCCAACAGGAATTTCTACATTGCTGAAGCAGTCATGGGACTCCTTGGACATTCCGATAAGACTTGTTAAAGGGATGTAGGTTTCAATCCAAAGCAGTGGTAATGTGGAGGGTATGTAAGGAAATGTTAATTTTCAGTCTTGCCACAGAACTCTTCATGCTGGAATATAGTGGCTCTTTGTGCAGGGTGATTATTAATCCGTGTCAGAAGTCAATGTTTCCTGTGTCCTGTTTGCACATCAGGGGTTGTTGGAGGGATGGCCATTGCTTCTTCAGATCTCCTTCCATAGTAACCCCCAGGAAGCAACAGTGGGGGTGGAGGAGCTGTGCTTGGCAGCTGCTGGACTATTGTTCATTATGTGTATTTTGGGGTGTTCTACACACTTGTCTCTTGGACAATTTCTGCGTGTAACATTATTTAATGAGTTTCTTCAGCCAAAACATAAGATACGGTGTGGTCAGTACTCCACAGCAAATGGTCTGTTAAAAGAGAGACTTGAGAGATGCTTTTACTGTTGTACATTTGTATTTACCCGGAGTACATGCAGTGCTTTTTGATTTGCTGGTACAGAAATCTGCAAAGCTTTGTGGACGGGACAAGAGCAGCCTGCTGTTGTGTTAGTTCCCCCTCAGTTTTTGGTTGCTGCTCCTGTATGTGCATTTCCACTTCATGAAGTTTCCCTGAACAACTCCTTGCAGCCTGGTACTGGGAAAGGACTCCTGTTAGTCTCTGTTTGTGTCCACCTCGGCGGAACAAAGCTTTTCAGGAAAAGTGCTAGGAGTGCTGGTAGGCAGACAGCCAGGTGGCTGTGAGTGGGCAGTGTGCTCGTGCTGCCTGGAAGGCTTCAGTAGAGAGGTGATCCTTGCACTTGGCACTGGTGAGGCTGCTCGTGTACTGTGTCCAGTTCTGCCCTGCCCCCCCCCCCAGACAGGAGACATGAGTGTACTGGAGATAGGCCAGCGTAGGGCCACTGAGGTGCCTGAGGGACTGGAGCACCTCTCCAGAGAGGAAAGCTGAGGGTGAGGAGACTCTTTAGTCTAGAGATGAGAGGGCTTGGAGGGAATCTCTTCAGTGAATGCGAAAGCTGGAAGTGAGGATGCAGTTGAGGACGAGAGGCATTGAGTACAAACTGGGGTTCGTGGTTCCATCTAAACGTCAGGCAGCACTTTGCAGTGGAGGTAAGTGAGCAGTAGCAGAGGTCGACCAGAGAGGGACTGGAGTCTTTTCTTTGCAGTTGTTCAGAAGCCATCTGGATCTGGTCTGTCCTGGATAATGTGCTCTCGGTGTCCCTGCTGGAGCAAGGGGTTTGTACCAGCTGAGCTCAGAGGTCCCTTTCCATCTTAAATTGTTCCGTGATTTTCTTTTTTGGGCTCCTTGGAAAGGCACGTCCTATTGGCAGATACAGCTTTAGGACTGAGCAGTGCAGATTGCTTGGCGTTGGGATGCCTTGATGTTTGTTGGAGTGATACCACTGCTGGAACTCTTGGTGGGAGTTCCTTGTCCTGAGAAGAGTTTTGGCCTGGTAATGCTGTAGTTGCTTCTGCTGGTAACAAATGTCCATTATGGCCTTGTGTTGAAATGGATTAGAAAGATACTGCAGTGCTTCCTGTATCCCTTGAAGCTGCAATTGCTCAGAGGTGGTGGTTTTGTTTTGCACAACCAGTGACACTCTTTTCCTCATGCTGCGAATGCTTTCCTCATCATATTCTCTTCAGGACACTCGGGATGAAACAGCTGTGCCTTGGCTCGAGGAAGAAATGTACACATGCAAAGGAAATTAAAATACAAGTGTTTGCTTCAGGTAGGTGTAGAAGTTTTTTCTTTCAACAATGAATGTCACAGCCTTTAAACTTCAATTCTTTCAATCTTTTTGGAAGGATATGTCGTTGTTTCAGTTGTGTTGTGACTGTGTTACATCCTAGGCAGAGATACCTATTGAATCTCTGTCCGAGTGTTTGACATTAGCAGATCACTGTGTCTGTCTGTGGTTGGGTAGTCAGCCCAATAGAGGATGTTCATGTGCACAGTTGTGGTGCATCTTAGCTTTCATTTGTGTTGTACTGTTGCCTGAATTCTATGAAGTATTTCTCAAAGTACTTTTTATTTTATTTTATTTTTTTTGCACTAAGTGCAGATAACAACACAAATCAGTGCAGTTGGCAGGTGGACTGTGCCAAAGAACATTTGGTCAAAAGCAGGATTAAAGTCTGTTTCTTTGAGCCTGAATAAGATGTTCAGATACCCTTCTACCTCTGTGTGTGTGAACAGACATTTGCTCAGTGCTGAAAATGACTGTGTCTCGTGTTTACTGCTTCGGTGAGATACCTGTGGTTGATTTTGTACTGTGTTTGCAACAGAGTTCTGGAGTAGCCCTGGGTTAGCTCTTTCCTCATCTTGTTCTTGTTGATAACCTGTTCTGTGTTCAGGTTGCTATTCTTGCTAGGAACGGTGCAGTCACTGGAAAGGTGCTTTTTGAGTCAGTTGTCTGCTGTAGCAGGGCTCTGCAAGAAGAAGCTGCCTGGACTACAGCTGTTGTCAGAGTACAGCTGAGTGAATGGAGAAAAGGTTGTAGAGAAATACTGTCGATAAATCAGCACCATGGTAGGACTAAGAGCACAAAGAAAAGTGCTGTCAGACACTGTGCCATACACAGATGCACACTGTACTGAAAAGATTGTTGTACACCAAGTTGTCTTTTTTTAATCAGTATTTTTATGCATAACTACAGGAAAGTATTTGTGTACACTGGCACAGTGCCTTGCTCTCTTAAGTCTGTTGTGAGCCACTGAGCTCCTGACTGCGCAGGTAACCTGCCTCCTCCTGTTGTTGAAGTTTCCTTAGGCATTCTGGCCGTGAATGCAGCAGTCGGTCACGGAGATACCAGCCCTACCCTGAGTGCCTTGTGCTCACCAGATGTGGGGCTGTACGGAGTCGCTGCAGAGTGTGCAGAGACATACCAGCGAGAGTTGGCAGAAGTCGAAAGGAGAAAAGTGGCCACAGGTGAACCCCAAATAGCTACCAGCTAGTGCAGTAAATTCGAGATGATTGCCTGTAGAATGGAAAGCAGAGGGGGAGCAATGTGAGGAGCAGTCTTGCGTTCTGGGTATCTTGTTAGAATCTCATGTTATAGGAAATTGAGGCTGCCTTGTAAACTGAAGTCTTTGTTAACGGAAAGAAAAAAAAGGTAGGAAGGAAATGAAAAAGGTAGCAGTGAAATATTCCCCACTTGTAGAATATATTGTGCTTAGGTAGTTCTTGCGGTGGTTCATTGGAATCTGAGGCGTTCCTTCTATTGCTTGGAGGAAGGGCCCTCTCCATGCATTTCCTTCCTGTAGTATTTGTATGTGAGGAAGATAGACACGTGTTTGCTTTCAACATAGCAGCATTTCTGCTTTCAGGAGGCAGTGGCAGTGAACGGGTGAAACACTGGGTGAGAGGAGGCTGTCATCATTATCATAACGTGAGGACCAGAGAGGGAGGATGGGATGAGCCGACGGAATTTGTGCAGAATGACACACAGCTGTCACGGGAGGAGATGCAGGTAAAGTACGTGCTCTTTTCCTCTGAAGTTGAAGGTGCCCCTATTTCAGGCCTTATTGCAACTTTCAGAAGTAATGTTTCACCTCAGTAGTGATGTTAGCAAGCTTTGTATCTTATCTCCCTGTTCACTGTCTACTTTGCACGTCAGCACCTCTTTGTCCTATTGTGGAGAATGTGCACACCTTGATCACCAGAACAAGACGGTGGTGCTGCTGCTCACCGAAAAGCAACTTGTAAGTTTCTCTTGAGCAGAATACAGAAGCCGCTGTGTAACATGTCATTTTTGCATCTCCCTTTTCTCTTCCTGGCTCTTCTTCCTACCATAACGCTAATCTAGAGCACTGTATCTGGAGTCACGGCAGCATACGAGCGAGAGCAGTTGTGGCTGGCCAAAGAGAACCTGATGGTGAAGCTTCAGGCTTGTGGTCGAGGCTGTCTTGTCTGTCAGGAATTCAACTCCAGAATGAGGTTTTTGAAGAAGCAAGTTCCAGCCATCGCTTGCATGCAGGTATGAAATCCCCTGATTCTGTTAGAAGCTTGTACTTGTCAGTTGCTCTCCACACGCACGCTTACTGACTGGTTTTGTTCAAGTCAAGCAGTTGCCACGCACAATTATCTTCGTTTTGCAAAGTATTGGAAGGCGTTTCCTTCTCCCTGGGAATCACTATGTATAAATTACTTCTCTCCCTCTTCCCATGAGTCCGTGGGTTTGGAGACTTGAAGATGGCCTTGAGAATTGTGCAATGGATGGTGCTTTTGGTTGTTTAGTTTTAGTCATTTGTTCTCTAGCTGTGTTTTGCCCTTGGTGGGGGGTGCTGCTAAGTCCCTCACAACGACAGCTGGTGGTGGAAGAAATAGTTAAGGCTGCACTGCATATCTCTTACGGCATGTCTTGTAAGATGAGCATGTCTGTGTTACATTTTATTCAGCCAAAGGGAAGTGGAAACTGAGCAGCAGAAAGAAGCATCAAATAGTAAATTACTGCTCTTCACTTGGAAAAGTCGCCTTTTTCTTGTGTGTGTTTTCAGTCCCAGTGGCGTGGCTATAAACAGAGGAAGGCATATCAAATCCGTTTGGATTACTGACGAGCACACAAGGACCAAGAAGTGAAGGTAGCAAATGCTATGTTTGTTTTTGTTTGTTTGTTTGTTTTGTTAACATTTTTGGTGGCAATATTTGTGGAGAAGACTTTTATCTGACCTGCTTTGGGATTCTTTCCTGTAGATTCAGTCACTGGCCAGGATGTATCAAGGCAGAAGGCGTTACAGAGATCACCTGCAATCTTTCAGAGACCACATAAGAGATTGTGAAATGAATTCAGTATCTGACACTTTTTTTTTTTTTTACTCTGCCCTTAACAAGTTTAAGTGGCTGACGTTCTACAAGTACAAGCTTTTATCCGAGGAAACAAAGCAGGAGAAGACTACAAAACCCTCAGTAAGTGTGGCCAAAAGAATAAAGCTAATATGCTTTGAATCTCTATTTGCAGAAAAATACTGTTAGTGAGATCTGCAACAGGAAGAGAGCTATGAAAATCAGTTGGGGTGAAGTGGTGCAAAGAGTAGATAGGTAGGCAGGTAGGTGGCTGAAGGAAAAATTCCCTCTGGCTGAGGGAGTGGAATGCGCTGTCAGCAAGTTTGCTGATGACACAAAACTGGGCAGAGTGGCTGACACAGCAAAAGGCTGTGCTGCCTTCCAGCGAGACCTGGAGAGTTGGGTGGGGAGAAACGGAATGAGAAAGAACAAGGGCAGGTGTGGAGTCTTGCATCTGGGCAAGAGCAACCTGAGTACCAGTATAGGTTGGGGGCTGAGCTGTTGGAGAGCAGCGTAGGAGAAAGGGATTGGGGGATCCTGGTGGGCGGTAGGAGCAGCATGAGCCAGCACTGTGCTCTCGTGGCCAAGAGGGCATCGTGGGGTGTATGAGAAAGAGTACGGATAGGAGGTGGAGAGGTGCTCTTTCCCCTCTACTCTGCCCTGATGAGTGGAGCATCTCCCTGTGAGGAAAGGCTGAGAAAGCTGGGTCTCTTTAGCTTGGAGACTGAGGGGTGACCTCGTTGATGTTTATAAATGTGTGAATAGTGAGCGTGAGGAGGATGAAGGCAAGCTCTTCTCAGTGACATCCAGTGATAGGACAAGGGGCAGTGTGTGCAAGCTGGAGCATAGGAGGTCCCACATAAATAAGAGGAAAAACTTCTTCACGGCAAGGGTAACAGAACACTGGGATGGGCTGCCCAAAGAGGTTGTGGGATCTCCTGTGGAGACATTCAGCAGCTACCTGGACATGTTCCTGTGTGCCCTAATCTAGGTGATCCTGCCCCAGCAGGGGGATTGGACGAGGTGATCTTTGGAGGTCCCTTCCAATTCCTGACATTCTGTGATTCTGTGCAAACTTGGTTCACGGTAGTACTTTTGCTGCTGGGAAATAGGAGCGCTGATCTTTGGGGTAAGTTCAGCAAGGTGGACTCCCCTAAGCTGATACTGACTTCATCCTGTAGCGTTGACTTCTGTCGTGATTTATTCCATGCCAGAAGTTCCGGATGCTGTCAGGAGTTATTCAAGCCCATTGGTGTTAATTTGATCCTGGACTGGCTGCTGCTTGACATGCTGTCTGCACAGAGGTAACGCATGCATTAATTTGTTTCCTGTCCTCTGCTGTTTTGTCTCTTGTTTTTAGTTAATGCTGAAAACCCACCTACGGCTGTGGTTGGGAAATTGGTTCACTTGCTCGATCGGACCCAGATTTTCAGGAGGAGCTGGAGCTAATGAAACTGTGTGAGGAAGCTGTGACCTTGGTCCGATCTAATCAACAGCTTGAAAATGACCTCAATCTCATGGACCTCAAGATTGGACTGCTAGTGAAGAACAGAATGACACTGCAGGTAGGAAATGCAGTGCTGGGAGACGAGCAGAGTGAATTGAGGCCAATGGCAGTTAGCATGAGGACCTTCTGAGCCTGGATCTCACTTACTCAGATGCAGTGGGAAGTATTTCCCCCAGAGTTACAGGTTTTCCTCCCAGTAAGTTCCTAACTGTTCCACTTATTACTATGTATCCCTAGAAAGAGAACTGCAGCAGAAACATCAAGGCTTCAAGTGTTTTAAAAACAAAGCACCAGAAAAAAACCCACTCGGGACCAAGGGAAAGCAATAGATGGTATGCTTGAAGGCTCTGAGAACTGTTTGTCTCTTCACTTGTGGTTACGTGAGTCATGGACTTGCACACCTCAATTTCTTCTCACGTTTTGTGTGCTGTATCAGAAGGGGGAGGTGATTTTGGAGCAGGAAATGTGCTCAGGCTGCTTGGTGTTGGTTGGCTGATGGAAGCCCCCTCTGTCACTTTGCTGACGATTGATTGCACACAAGAACAACGTTGCTGATACAGCGGTGCCTTTTTTTAACTCAAGCTGAAGTTACAGTCACCTTTTCCTTTGGTCCTGAATAGCGTGGTGCTAGGCTTGACCTTGTGTAAAATCTGAACCATGGCAGCAGTAAAGTTCAGTTCCAAAGGAGGCTCCAGCTCTTGGGCTGATGCTGGCAGCAAAAAGTATCATAGTTATCAGAGCAGTGGAGGCAGGGAGTCAGCAAAATGGAAACAGGGCTTGGGGCTTCAAGCACAGTTGAGAAAGAAAGGCATTTTCAAGCATCTTCAGAACGCTACCAGCTGTGACAGTAGTCCCTGCTCAAAGCAATTAGTCCTTGTAGGTTCTCAACCAATTCTGGAACGTGGGGACAAGACAGAAATCGCTGCTACAACAGATAATGTTTCACTTCATGATCTCCTGATGTACCTTGACTGCCTTATCCACACATAAGGAAGTGCTATCGTGCAGCTTTTTCCCATATTGCGTGTTATTTAAATGTGGAATCTGTCCCTCTGTGTTCTTTGCAGGATGTTGTTTCTCATAGCAAAAATCTTAGCAAGGAGAACAAGGAACAGCTCTCTGATGTGATGACGCTGAACGAGCAAAAGGGAGGTTTGAAAGCTTTGAGCAAAGAGGAGAGGGAAAAGCTGGAAGCCTATCAGCACCTTTTCTACTTGAGGTATGCAGCTTTTCATTCACTGCTCTTGTCGTAGATGCTTACGTGTATTGGAACAGTCTGTGCTTATGCTCTGCAGTGTTGAGGCGCTGTCTGTCTTTGTGGTGTTGGCTTTTGTGGACACGTGCTGTATGGGAACTGCTGAGTCATGGCCTGAACCTCTGATTGATCACCTGAGGCGAGCAGTGAGTCAGGCAGAGGAGCACAGGTGAAGGCAGTGCAGCTGTGCTGCTGGAAGGGGTGCAGCCAGGCTACAGCCCTCCTAGACCTGTTTAAGAGCTGGCTGCCAGTGGGGAAGGATCTCGTCTGGAGATCTGCTCTGCTGGAGTTTTGTAAGTGAGCCCAGGATAGGGGTAAGCCTTCTATTTATTCTCCTTTTGTTAGCTTAGTCTGCTTTGTCAAACTCTCTTGTTTATTTCATAATGACAACATCTTAATAGTCATTGATTATACACGTGCACTAAGTACTTTTTCTTCTTGTTTTAGACTACTCCAACGTACTTGGCCAAGCTGCTTTTGCAGATGCCTCAAAACAAACCCACAGAGTTCATGGATTCAGCCATCTTCACGCTGCATAACTACGCATCCAGTCAGAGAGAGGAATCTCTGCTGTTGCGGCTGTTGCAAACAGCATTGCAGGAAGAGATCAAGTACGTTGTAGCGTAGGACACAGCCTTGCTGTTGCCTGAGTTTGGGCCGCTGCTAAAATTGCAGCTGTTGTTGTGTGATGTCCCGTGCTCATTAGCTGATAATGCTGAACTGTCCCTGCCTTCTGCTCATGCTGTTTCACGTCAGTCCTTTCTGTAACCTGGAAGGAGGAGGAATTACCTTTGTTCTTTAGGATTAAAGCCATTTTTCTTTAGCCAATGCTTTCTTGCTCAGGGAGGCACTATTTTTGATCTACTGCAGTGCTTTCCTAAGATTCATTCCCATCTAAGTTCTCTGCTGTCTAGTAAGAAGGACTTGGAGCAGACTGCGAGCTTGGGCTTTACAGGCCAGAGTGAAGCTGACGCGAAGGTCACTGTTTTCCAAAACTGATGAGGAGGCTGAAAATCAGATGCTGTCTGGTTTGGGTTTTTTACTGGCTGTCAGGCTTAAGGATTCTGGCTGTCTGTCGGCATAATGGAGTTGATTGGCACTTAGGAGTTTGGTGTTTATGACTTCTGGCTGATACGGAGCTTCACAACTTGCTAGGAATAGCAAATACATGTAATGTTGGAGGCAGTCATGCCTTTTTTGATGCTTTTAAGTATGAGGATGGTATGTGCCCTCCAACAGGTAACGTCTAAAAGGTTTGTTTAATTATTATTATCTTTTCTTGGAGTAGTAGTTCAGGAAAGTGCATGTCTATGCTTTATTCTCTGCTGCTGGATTTCCCATAGCGGCATGCTGTGGATGGCTTTTGTTGCTGATTGCTTACTTGTTGAAATACTGAAAGAAAATAGTTGTGCCTGTGTAGAACTCCCTTTGTTTCCTCTGTATTTTTGAGATGCGCTCTTTCAACCGTGGTGCCCGTGGTCAGAACGCACTGAGGCAGATCTTGGCCCCAGTTGTGAAGGAAATAATTGAGGACGAATCGCTCAACGTCAGAACGGATCCAGTGGATATTTACAAGTGCTGGGTTAACCAGATGGGATCTCAGAATGGTGAGGCCGGGTATGGAAGCTGTTGCTACTGTTTTTTTCTGAAAGTTGCTCAGCTGCTTTGCATTGCTCTGTTAATCGTTCCAAACCATCCCTGGATTCATTGCATGCATCTGTCCAATGGATACCAGCTTTTTTCCATCAGCTCGAGATGGCTTTCTTCTGAAAGGTATAAAGATCACAGAATCACAGAATTGTAGGGGTTGGAAGGGACCTCCAGAGCTCATCGAGTCCAACCCCCCTGCCAAAGCAGGTTCCCTACAGCGGGTCGCACAGGTCGGCATCCAGGCAGGTCTGGAACATCTCCAGAGAAGGAGACTCCACCACCTCCCTGGGCAGCCTGTTCCAGTGCTCCGTCACCTCACTGTAAAGAAGTTCTTGCGCACATTTGTGCGGAACTTCCTATGCTGCAGTTTCCAGCCGTTTCCCCTTGTCCTGTCTCCACTCACCACTGAAAACAGTCCGGCCTCGCCATTCTGCCCCCCACACCTTAGATATTTATAGACCTGGATCAGGTCCCCTGTCAGTCTTCTTTTCTCAAGGCTGAACAGACCCAGTTCACTCAGCCTTTCCTCATAGCAGAGATGCTCCAGGCCCTTCACCATCTTCGTGGCCCTCCGCTGGACTCTTTCCAAGAGATCCCTGTCTTATTTGTACTGGGGAGCCCAGAACTGGACGCAGTAGATCATCTTGTGACAGGGGTGTTGAGACTATTAGAAGTGAATCTCATGAAGCGATAGGCCAAGAAAAGCCCCAAAGCATTTCTTCTGTGTTAACTCATAGATACAGATACCGTAGCTCTTACTCTACCAAGCCAATCTCTGCCCACAACTCGGGCAGGCTGCCCAAGGAGGCTGTGGATGCCCCATCCCTGGAGGCGTTCAAGGCCTGGCTGGATGTGGCTCTGGGCAACCTGGGCTGCTGGTTGGTGAACCTGCATGCAGCGGGGGGTTGGAACGAGATGAGCATTGTGGTCCTTGTCAACACAGGCCGTGTTCATAGAATCACAGCATGCAGCTGTTCCTGTCTGCCCATGAGAAGGTTTCATCCACCTGGTCATCCTGGTTGGTTGGCCTGTAGATCCCCCGCTACGTCATCTGTCCCTGTCCTCCCTTTAATCTGTGTCTATAAAGTCTTGATGGGCTCCCATCCGTCCCCAGTCAGAGTTCTGTGTTTCTTCCAGTGCTTGATGTTCACCAGATTTTGAGGGTTCTGTTGTTGGTTGTATTTGTTTTGTTTTTAAGGCACGTCAAGGGAAGTGGTGGAAAAGCAATGCTATGAAGTAAAAGACAACTGTCCCAGCGCAGCACGCTGCGTGAGTTACTATCTTAACACTGCAATGTGCAGCTTGTGTTTTCACTGATTTATTTGCGACCTGAGGTACTACTGCGTATCGCAGGTGACCTTCTTGACTCTAGAGAGCGTGTCTGCATGTGGTACAGAAAGATACAGTTCAGAGTTAGCTGGGCCTGTTCTCACAGCGACTGCTGCAGGGACAGCAGAGGACGTGAGAAGTCCTTTGCTCTTTCAGTGCTAGCATTCTAATGAAAGTGAACGTGCAGCTCTTTGCAGCCAGGTGAGCGTGGATCTGTTTGTGTGTCAAGCCAAAAATTCTGCCTGGCACTGACAAAAGTATATTAGGCTGAGGAGTGCTCACCTTCACATCTGACTTTTCCAAATAGCAAGTTGCCGTACGATGTTACACCTGAACAAGCTCTTAATCACGGTGAGGTGAGGACGCACCTGGATGCCTCAATCCGAGATGTGAAGGCAGTGACAGACAAGTTCCTGTCTGCCATCGTTGTTCAGCTGACCAAATCCCGTAAGTCTGGTGTGTCACCGCGTTATCCTGCAGCAGTTAATAGTGGGTTCATCCGTGAGGAATTCTCACTTGCCTTTTATTTCCTTCGAAGTTACGGGATGCGTTTCATCGCCAAGGTACTGAAAGACTCCCGGCATGACAAGTTTCCTGATGCTGGCGAGGATGAGCTTCTGAAGGTAAGGAGCTGAGCAGCTCTGTGAATCACTGTCTGCCACGCTGACTGCAGCAGATGCATCTCAGTGTTGTTTGTTGGCTGTACGTGTGCAGAGAAGTTTCAAAGCTGCAGTTTAAGTAGACAGGCTATTTGTTGTTATGGGTATAAAGTACTTTGCCCTGTGCTTTGGATTGCTGGATACATGTTTGTCAGAGACATAATACAGCGTTCAGAAGAGGTCACCCTATTGCTTTTCCTTTTGCTTTTAATATCTTGGGCATTGTGCCCCCTAGGTTTCTTGGCTTTGGGATGCTCTTGCTGCTGAATGGTGCACCTTGGTTTTGCTGGTGTTATCTGAGTCAGTTGCTCTTTTTTTAAAGAGCCAGTGCCAAGTTGAAAAGGCCCGTGTGCAGAATTCTACTCTTCTCACTTCCCTTACAATATTCTAGGGCATTACAGTAGCTGCAACAAAGTATATGGTGTCATTTTTCATGAGGTGTGGGCAGTTTTGTGTTGTACATTTCCGTACTTTGGAGAACGAAAAGGATGTTAGTAGTAAATGCTTCCAAATGAGCACAGCATTGTGGCTTTCATTGGGATTGTCCTGGCGTTTGTTATTTTGAAGGTCTTTCTGTCTGTGAGTGCTCTTCTTCTTAATAAAACAAAGAGTGGCTTTGACATTACTTGCCCCAGTCTCTTTAAGCTTTTCTGTCTCTGCTTCATTACGAAGTAATTCCCAATCTGAATGCCGTTTTCTTCTCTCTTCTGGTTCCGTGCTTTCCCGTTCTGAGGCATCGATTCTTTCTGTGCAGGTGAATTCATTTTTTCCATCTGTAAATGTAGGTGGAAAGCTGCAGTTTTTATTAATCCTTGTGGAAACAATGTCACGGCCCATGCCGCACTCTGAACTGCAGCTGCGTGCGGTGACTGCCTGTAGATGCATTAGGGCCTAAAACTACTCCTACAGTGTACTGTTCTTGTCTTCCTACTACATGTTTTACTATTATCATTATGATTTCTCTCACAAATGTGTTTCTTATGACTGGTAGTGAACAGTTTTGTCTGTTGTGACCATGTGCCGTCACCTGGGATAGTAGAGCAAGAGCTGAAACCGCTGTCAAAACCATGACCTCTCTGAAAGCAGTTAATTTCTGGGGCAGCTTAGCAATGGCGAAGCTTCTTCTTTCTGTTTTTGCCATTTCTTCACACCTCTGATCTCTTCTGTGCATTCAAATCGCACGTGAAGCAGGAGAAGCCCAGATTCTGTGACTTGGCTCTGCGCAGATTGATGTGAAACTCCAGGAAATACTGAAGCATGTGGCGTGGGAACTTTTGCTGCATGTCAGCGTGCTGGGCCAATGCCTTTTTGTTGTGGGAATTACTGCAGGCAAATGTCCAATACGGGTTAGAAGTAGATGGATGAGCACGTGGATAACGGGCTGTCTTTATCTTTGGGGCCTCGGCGTTCATTGCTGCTCACTTAGCTGGTGAATTGGACTTCTTTTGAAATGTCAAATACCGCTCATCTTCGGTACTTCTGAGTTTCTTACTTCTGGATTAAATGTTTCTGAGTTCCTCTCAGTTGTGTTTAACTGGGGATCTGTAGCTAAAAACGTTGCTGGTTAACCGAAGAGGTATTCTGAGAGAGAGAGAAGTGCTCTGGAAAAGGGGCAGAAAGTAGCTGCTGTTTTCTCAGCTCAGCTCCTTGGTTTGCCACGCTTCACCATTTTTGCTTTGTTGGAGATGGTGGTCAATTCTGCACACCTGTGTTAGGAATTGGCTCCTATCCCTTATTGAGACTGCAGTACCAGGTTTCTCTGTAGCATAGTTGTTCTGCCTTCTGTTAGACTAAGCTTGGTTTAATTCTCAGAGTAACTTTTACGCTTGTATGAGGAATTCTTTGGTAACTTCTAAAAATATATAGGCAGGTGGTATTCAAAGTTAAATTTGGAAACCTTTGTGTGTAGGAATATCTGCAGTTGTGTTGTTCTGGAGCTAGTAATGGTCAGTCTTACCACTTCTGTGTTGACAGGTTGTGCATTTATTTAGTGTATGTATCTATGTTACAGTGTGAAACTAAGATTCTTTGGGACAGCATGTGCTTATTAATGGCAGCGCAGTAGACCCTGCATCTGGAACGGGGCCCACAGCTCACAGGAAAGTAATTGGTCAGAACTCACTCGGAGTAGTGTCAGTAAAAGTCAGTGGAGGTCTGTGCCATTGGTTTTCCACGTGTTTTTTTCTCTCCTCAACTTGTCCTAGATTGTTGGCAACTTACTCTATCACCGCTACGTGAATCCGGCCATGGTGGCACCGGATGCATTTGACCTAATGGATCTTTGAGCTGGAGGGCAGCTGACTGCAGATCAACGAAGAAACCTTGGTTTGTTGCAAAGATGCTGCAGCATGCTGCGTCCAGCAAGATGCTCATGGGAGACGGTGCACATCTGAGCATCGTGAAGGAATACTTGTCACAGTCATCCCAGAAATTCAGGTAGAAGACTTGAGCTGATTGTGTTGAGGAGTTTGTCAGAGGACAGTGTTGCAAACAAAGAGGAGCGATGAATTTTAAATGTAATAAATTCCATCTCAGTCAAAAAGGAGGTCTGTTGAAAATGAGAGATTGCCCTTTGGGCTTCCACAATCATTGATCATAATGACATATAAAATACGTAGCTGGAATTCACTAACTAGATATAGTATATTAATGAGCTGGTCCAAACAATTGGCTTTGCCATACAAGCCTCCAGAGTAAAGGCTGTTTTTCTATGTGTTTATTATGATATTCTGGCCATTGAAAACTAGAGTGTGCATGCGTTCTTTCCTATATGCACCCTAGTTCTCTGTATGCAAACTAGATGGCACTTTGGATTAAAGCAGGCTGGAATTTAGTTGTTTGTATAATCAAGTAACTTTTGAATGAAGAGCTTCTTTATATCTTTCATCTTTTGTAAGAAAGAAAACTGGAAATGGCTGGGAGTGAGGATTATTCTTGCAGCTGAGACAGAAGGATGGGTGCACAAGGTCATTCGGTCCATGGACTTGTCCTGCAGATGCTTACAGTGAGCGAATGCCAACATGGCCAGTACCAATAACTGAATCTTCTAGATGGCTTTTGATGTGATAAGCTATAGCTTGTCCAATTGCAGTATGCTTGGGAACCATGGTTTGAAGAAGAACAGCTGCTGGTATGCTGATTACCTTTTTCTCCTTTTTCTTTTCTTTTTTTTTTTTTTTTTTTTTTTTTTTTAGACGCTTTTCTCAGGTTGCTTGTGAGGTTCCTGAATTGCAGGATCAATTCAGTATTGATGAATATTCTGGCTTCCTTCCTTGTCTGTCCCTTCTGCAGAGCTTATAGCCATCAATCTCAACGCGCCAGTCATGGGAGCAGTCCCACCATGTTTCAGTAACAGCAGCTAGATCGTAGTTAGCCTGGTGCACAATGGCTTCCAGTTCCTCCTGCTTGTTGCTCATGCTGCGTGCATTGGTATAGGTGCACTTGAGCCGAGTCATTTGCCTGACTCCCAGCTCTAAAATCGTTCCCCCAGGCTCTTCTCTTGTGAGGCCTGTACTGTCCCCTTCCCCCGTCATAATTAGTTGATTGCACAGGAAGAAAAGCTTGATGTCTGTGCCAAGGGAGACGTACACCGCACTTGCGCTGCCTGGACGATGTGGAAACTGGAAATTGTGGGGTGTGCTGAAGCATGCCCTCTCAGGTCAGTCTAAGCATCCATAGAGTAGACCTGTCTAGCAAAACAGGGAATAGACAGTTAAACCCATTCTGTTGGGAAATACTCTCTCCTTCTAAGTACCTTTAGAACGTGAGTTTCTTCAATTAATTACTCAACTCATTTGCTTTTCCTGAATGATCCTAAGTTCTTTTCTCAGGCGACATCTGCACTCTGCTCAGTCCAAGGAGAAATCCCTGCCCGCAGATGCAATGACACAGCGTGGCTCCCAACCTCATTTTTCATTGCTTACTCTTATGGTAGCTGCCATCCATGTCCACCCTGCATATTCTTAGAGCTCTTCTGGAGTCCATGGGACAGACTTATGGTTGAACTAAAGGGAATTTTTTTATAATGCTCTAGCTCCAGATGATTATCCCTAGTATCATTATATTAAAAAAAAAAAAAGGCGTTTTGAAGTAGTGCGATATATCTTCTGTGCCTCAGAATGTGGCACGTGTGGCATGAGAGAGTTGTGAGGCCACGAGGACTGCCCAGACAGCATGAGAACTGTAAGAGCAGAGAGCTATAGGTGATGCAGCGCTATTGGTGCCACCCGCAGGAAGCGGTAGCTGGAACAAAATATGGCCAGAAGAGTGATCAGATTGCGTTTGGTAAGGAACTATTTCATTGGTTGTAGAACTTTGACAAAATGTATATTCAGGATGATGATCAGCATGCCAGGTGCTGGGACCATGCCGAAAGAGAAATGGTCTGAAAACGTCGGTGCCATTTGCAATATATCCCCTTCCACAAAGCCCTCAGATCCATGCTCCAGCTGCATCCAAAGCAACCCAGAGCCCTGTGCTTGTTGTACCCGGAGCTGTCGGTGCCAGGAGTTGCCGCTGTGTTTGCAAGGACGTTGTGTCAGCAGTGTGTCGTCAGTGGGGTTGTTTGATGGCAATGAAACCGCTGAATGGTGTACCTCAAGACTGAGAAAGAAGATGGTAGTGGTGACTGTGTGTCTGGGTATAGATAGCTTGATACAGATCGATAGGACTGCAGTGTGGATTGTACATAGGCCCTGCGCTGCGAGGTACTCTGTTGGGAAGCAATGTCCATCTGCCCGAGGGCAGGAAGGCCCTGCAGAGGGACGGCCTGAGGCCAGCCGTACGAGGCTGCACAGGAGCAAGCGCTGGGTCCTGCGCTGTGGTCATGACAACCGCATGGCAGCTTGTGCAGGATTGGGCTGAGGTAGAATTCCAACGGCCCGCTGATTCTAGAATGTTGGGTGTTGGAATCTTCTGGTCCTGTGACATGGTCTTGCCTCCCCACCCTGTCGTCATGGCGGAGCAGCCTGGTGGCCCTTAGTGATGTCACAAGAGGCTGGAATGAGGGGAGGAGCAGTGCGTGCTGCGTCCCTTCATTGGAGCGCTTGAGCTCTGCGTGAGTAGCTCGCTTGTTGCCCTTGTGCAGCGACTGAGTGCCTTCATTTTCACCCCTTGTGTCTTGTGCAGCATCTTGTAGGTAAGCTGAGACAGGGCGTGGGATAGAGGGGTGGGCAGTGAGGTGTTGAGATCTGCTGGCTGGCGGAGCTCCTGGCAGCTCACACTGCTTACTCTTGTCCATCAGACGTGACTTTCAGCCAGTACCTGCATTCCCAAGCGATCCACAAAGATGGCATTTGTCCCATGGCTTTTCCCTTGTCATCTTTGCTCCATTGTGCAAGCTCACAGACCTATTCCTTCTCTCTCCTCTGCCTGCTCCCTTGGTGCAGCTTTCGCTCGTGGAAGAACAGAGCAAAGTGACAAGGAACGGCTGCGGGTTCAAGACACTTGTCTACCTTGTTCTGATCTCCTGCCAGGTACGTGCCACGCTTTGTCCCCCCACGTGGTTGACCAGCACTGTGTCGCACCGTGTTTGGTAACACAGCCTCATCCAGCTTTGATGGGACACTGGTCCCGTGTGGGTTTTTTCCACTTCCCCTCCAGCTCCGCCCTCAGAAGGATGTGGTGCTGTGACCAGCTGGTCTGAAGGAAAGCAATCCCTTAGGCAAAGAGTGCTAGCCCCAGTTTGTGCAGAGCTGCACAGCATGACCCAGGGACACGAGCACGCGCGCTTCGGCTGCGTGAGTGTGCGCGGCAGCTGTGGGGAGCACAGCAGAGATGTGAGCAGAGGAAATCCATGTGCGAGGCTGCGGCCGGCGCTGGGCGTGAGGCTGGTGGGAGCCGGGGGCTGGGGAGCAGATCCACCCCCAGCAGTGACTCCTCTCACTGCCCTGCTGCTGCGCTGTCGGAGTGCTCTGAGCAAGTGCACCTGCTGCTTTGTGCCAGTCCCCATCTGCTAGCAGAGGGACAGCCGCTTGGTCAGATGCTGCCTCGTAGGCGGTCTTGTTTGATTTGACTGAACAAAGTGGCTGTTTGTAGAACACCTGCCTATGCCAGTGGGTAACTGAGGGTAGTTCTGAAGAAGTCTCTCCATTCTGTGGTGTGTGAAGAGAGAAAATATGAGCGTGTTTCTTTTCATTCCAGCTTGTCGTGCCTGCTGTGATGGGCGTCGCGTGCAGTGAGATCAGCTGTGGGCCTGACATGGCACGTGTGGAGGTAGAGTATGAAGCTCTGATTGGTCTTTGTTCCCTGACTTGAGCCAGCAGTGAGCCGCAGATGTGCTCTCCTGCTTTTCAAGGGAGGCAGAGTCCTTCCTGCTCTATCGGTGTCACTGAAAAGCTGCCTTCAAAGCTTCATGTCCTTGCTGCGGGCATCTAGATGGCCGTGGAAGTCATAGTACCAACAGAATCTGATGCGGCGTTATAAACGTGCAGAAGCATTTTCCGCATCCTGCCTGGATGTTGTCCCCCAAAGACAAAGTGCTGTTCTCATATTCAGCAAGTTCAAGGAAGCTGGCACTTGTAGTGAGCCAAGGATTGGGTCAGTGGCCCAGCTGCTGTGTCCAGTCCACGGCTGAGGTCTCCAGGCAATAGGTGGCAGGAAGTGAGCAGACTCTTACGCTCCTCTTTGGGAAGGCAGTAGTGCAAGCGTGGCAAGTTTATGAAACTGCTGGAGCCATCTCAGTTGTGGAGTTTGTCCTCTTAGTCTGGGTAGAGAGAGATGCATCTTTGCACTGCCTGGCGATAGTGCTGCGCACCGGGAAGAGAAACAGCTGTTATTAGACTTGCGGTTTCTTGTTAAGCGCTCGTGATAAGGACCGAGTGCATTTCCTGCAGCCTTCTCTGCCAATGTGCTCCTCACCCTGAGATCCTCCTTGCAGCCCTCAGCTCCTCACCGTGGCCTGTGCTCTCTGTTTCAGACTGAGAACAACGGGAAGCCCCTGCTGGTCCGTGAGGAGTCATCTCTTAATATTCCAGCTATTGGTGCTGCCCATGTTCTCAAGAGATACGTTGCCCAGGCACCGGATGAACTCTCCTTGGAGGTAAGCAGTTAAGGGCGTTCCTTGTTGTCCTGTACAGAAGAGTATAAGGCGTGAACGCATCAGGAATATTCTCTGACACCTTCAGAGTGTTTGGTGAGGTGAAGCCCAGAAGATGCGGTTCCAGATTAGACTTGCACTGGGTTGGATGCAGGGAGGAGTTCAGCCATCTCTAAACTATGTCTCTATTTGGCATTGGAATCTTCTGATCAAAGAGCTACTGCCCAGGGTCTCTGAGCAATGGCAGAGCAGTGTATGGAGTGTGCAGATCTGTTCAGGATGTGTTCCGCTGACTTATGCTTACAGTTTAATTGGAGCTCTCCCTTTGGCAAAGAGCCTGCTGCTTTTGAGAACCATTTGGTACTGAACAGCTGAATTCTGTATGTTGTGTATTGGAGTGACTCTTCTACCTCCACGTTCAGTTATACGACTGCAAATGCCTGAAGAGCTGCACTGGTGCAATGGCTCTCAAGCTTGACGATATTGGGCAGTGCAGAAGAATGCAGTCATTTGAGCTGCGCTTTCCTCCCAGCCGTGCTGAAGCTGGGATTGACGTTGCAATCTCTTGCAGGTGGGAGACCTCGTGTGCGTCATCGAGATGCCGCCTCAGGAGCTGAGCCCCCGCTGGAGAGGCAAGCACGGCTTTCAGGTAGGCCCAAGCTTCAGACGTGAGAGCGCAACTTCGGTCGAGGCAGGAATCTCAGCTTAGAGCTGCCCTGCCTGCACAGCATGGCTCCACATGGAAAATGGTTTCCTTGTGCTGGTGTCAGAGGACTTTCCCTTTTGCCGTGGGCTTGGGCCAGAGCTGAAAGTTGGTCTTTGTAGGAAACTGCCTCCTCAATCATTTTAGAAAGAAGAGCCCTCACAACATGCATCAGGTCACGGCCACTGAACCGCACCTTTGGAAATGCAGCAGCTAGGACACGTGTTTCAGTGTCTCTGAGCTCTTGTGCTTGCACCCATGCAGAAGGGGAAGTCAGTGTCTTTTAGGAAGTCGCTGCCTGTCAGCTGAGATGAGGCAGGGTAACAGAGCCTCTGCGCGCTTGCTGCTGCTGCTGGCTGCAGAAGGCTGGGTAGCTCAGAGCTGGGGATGGCAGCTGCATCTCAGTCAGCAAGCAGAAAGTGCATAGGCTGTGCTAACTCAGATCTAGCTGCATCAATCTATCATAATAATATATAGCTTCTGTATGAAGTCTTTCCCTTCGGGCACGCTTGAGATTTAGGGGTGCATAGCATACTTGTCCTTTCCCCGCTCCATACACAGTTTTGTGGATATTTGCCTGCCAATTTGGAATAATTATTAATTTTAAGCAGGCCATTTTTTGGTTGGATTGTCTTACGGAGCATCCGGCAGGCACGTGATGAGGAAAATGTGATGTTTGAACAGTTCAGGCCTGAGAAACGCTGCCTTCAGTATTGCACGTCTCTTCTTCTTCTTGTTACAGGTTGGATTTTTCCCTGGTGAGTGTGTGGAGCTCATTAACGGAAAAATCCCGGAGTCTCTCATCAATTCAGTGCCAAAGCCAGGTACGATGAGACATTTGATGGTGCAGGGAAGGTAAATGGAGTCTTTTTTGGGTGTGTTCCGTGTTTAATACCTCCCTTATCCTTCCCACCTTATCCTCTGTGCTGATGATCCTTCATGCATAGCACGGGGCGTATGGCTGGTGTTTTGTAGGCAGTGAGAATGAGGGAAGGCCAAGGCAGTTCTCCTGCAAGTCCGTACGAGGCTGAGAACAGCCAGCGTCCCTGGTGGACAGATAGAGGTCTGGTTGTGCTAGTGACACGCTTGATCAGAACGTGGCTTTTCAAGAGGGTCCTTAATGCCCAGGTTGAGCAAGCTAAGCAAGAGGAGTGCATTCAACTCCATCAGAACGTGCAGAGATTTGGCCCAGTCCTGCTGTGTTTATGACTGGAGTTGGGGAAATCCTAGAATCCTTGTAGAATGGCTTGGGATGGAGTGGAGCTCAAGGATCATCAAGCTCCACGCCCCCTGCCTCAAGCTGGGCTGCCAACCAAGCTCCACATTTAATGTGGGACTGGACCAGGCTGCCCAGGGCCCCATCCAGTCTGGCCTTGGACTCCTCCAGGATTGGGGAAAATCCATTTTGGTACGCACTTGCTCATCATGTTCTTCCCGTTTTGAGGTGCTCTGCAGAATGTGTTGTGCTCGGCCTCGTCCAACGGAGGCAAGCCTAAAACGAACTGGTTTCTTCCTTTTGTTGTGCAGTGCCAAAGAAGCGCGGCAAGCTCCTCACCTTCCTTCGTTCCGTGGTGAAGGCCCGCCCAAAGCAACGGAAAGAGCGGGAGGTGGAGAAGGAGAGGGTGTTTGGCCGTGACCTGGGAGAGCATCTTCTCCACTCTGGTCGTGATGGTAAGGGACAGCCCATTCCTGAGAGCTTCCCTGTTTGGGAACCTAAAGATGAAAGGGAGATGGTTTCTAGCAAGGGGCAGGTTGATACCAGTGGAGAAACGGGGAATGGGAGTTGAGGACTGAAAGATCAACTGAGTAGGTGATGGCTACAAGGTAAATGCTCCTAAGGGACAAGCACATTTGTATTTGCTTAAAGCAAAGCCTGTAAGCCAATCCCCTGGTAGCCTGAAAAGAAAGGAAGCCTTTTGGCCAAAGAGAGTGTCCTGCATGTTTCCCAGCTCCTTCCGGGCGCGAGATTTTCCACCTCCATTCCCGTGGGAGCTGTGATGGGACTTGCAATGTCTGTGGCTTCCCCGGAATGACTTTCTCCAGGCTGATTCCTAGGTCCTGGCATTTCTTGAACGCAAAGAACACATCTGTGTCCAGTTTCCTCAGCAGCTCCTGCAGAGGCGTCTCTGACAGCTGTCCCCTTCAAGGAAGAACTGAGCAGTAGCCTGGCTGGGCTTAGTGGATGGGATGTGACGGGAGCGCAGCCTGAGGCAGGACTTGACTGAGGAGCTCCAGTAACCGCCGGCACGTGTTCTTTAGTCCCCCAGGTCCTCCAGAGCTGCGCCGAGTTCATCGAGCAGCATGGCGTGGTGCAGGGGATATACCGCCTGTCCGGCGTGGCGTCCAACGTCCAGAGACTGCGGTAAGAGTGCTGCGACTGACAGACACAGCTGCCAGCAGGGGCACGTGCCCTGTTGCGGGCGTTCAGAGGCCTGCGGGCAATGCCTTAGCACAGAGAAAAGGTCTCCTTTGGGAACATCCCATCCAGCACGGCTGACGTGGTGCTGGTGGCCGAGTGTTTGTGTTCTCCTGTACATCAGGAAGCCCTTCTGATTCTTGATTGCATTGGGTGTGGCTTTTGACTTGCTTTCCTCTTTCTCAACCGCTTTCGTGTCCTTCTCTGCAGCCAGGAATTTGAGTCTGAGCAGGTTCCTGAGCTAACCGTCCGCGACGTTCACAGCGCGAGCTCCCTCTGCAAAATGTACTTCAGGGAGCTCCCGACCCCCCTGCTGACCGACCAGCTGTACGACAAGTTCTCGGTAAGCACGAGGCAACGCCTTTCCTTTCCCTCTTCGCTGGGCCTCTTGGGAGATGGCTGCAGCAGTGCCCCAGCTCTGAGGCCCTTCTGTTAGCCCCATGGGGTTTACTCGCATGTCTTTGCCACATCCTGCTTCGTGCTGATGCCACTTCTGGTGGCCCCAGGAGGTGGTGATTTCCATATTCACAGTGCTTGCGAGAATTCCTGTGTTGTTTGTTTGTTTGTTTGTTTGTTTTTTGCTATTCCCCAGCTATTTCTGGAACAGGAAGGGGATTAATAGCCAAGTGTACTTGGAGATGAATGCCCCCTGCGAGGAGCTGAGCTGCCCAACCAGGCTGTAAACCGGCCCGGTGCTTGGACTCCTTGGCCGTGGTGGCACCAGCTGCGTGCCGCTATGTTTGCCAGATGCCTCTGGGGAGGCCTAAAATCTTTCTCAGTGCTGACCAGCAGCGCGCTGTGCCCATGGTTCCCGACCCTGCGGCAGGTATCTCGCCTGATTTGTGTCTCAATCCCTTTCTGCCCTTTTCCAGGATGCTGTTGGTGCCACTACAGAGGAGGAGCGGCTGGTCAGAATGCGGGACGTCATCCAGCAGCTGCCCGCTCCTCACTACAGGTCAGTGCTGCCCTCAGCCTGCTGAGCTCAGCCCTGCTGCACTTCAGAGGGCAATGGTGCGATTCCAGGCTTTGTCTCACGTGAGCAACACGATGCCTGGGTATGTTGAAGCGGTTGAAGGCTACACGGGTTTAATTTACAGGGTTAATTTATTGGGTCAGGTCCTGGGCACGGGGGCACGCTTGGTGCAGCTGATGGCTGTGGCTGTGCTGTGCTGGTGCTGGGTGCTGCAGCGTGGCACTTGGTCAAGTTGGGTCTACTTCATCTTCAGCATCAGTAGCAGTAATAACAACTAGTGTGAATTGAGGTTTGCTTTGTGAGTGGCAGCACGGCATGCTGGCTGGTGCTGAACATTTGCCGCTCTTGTTTCCCAGGACCCTGGTGTTCCTGATGAGACACTTGGCCTGTCTTGCTGCAAAGAACTCTGTCACCAACATGCACGCTAAGAACTTAGCCATTGTGTGGGCTCCAAACCTCCTAAGGTAAACTTCTTTTTCCGTTTCAACAGAACGCTTACATCTGTTCTCCAGTAGAATAAAGCAGTCCTCCCTTCTTCTGCACCACATGTGCTCTTCTCCTGTAAAATGTGCAGTGAGTGGCTGACAGCAGAGCAGGAGCCTGGACTGTTCTCCAACCCCACGTGGGCACAATTTCTAGCTGAGCATTGCTGCCCTCTTGTTTAGATGGGACTGGTGTGTCCTTGATCAGCCAGGAGAACTTCTTCAGTGGCATCTCTTATATGCCCGCTGCGGAAGTCTCCAGAGAACAAATGTGACAGCTTTGGGCTGCAGTAATTCAGACCTGGGGAAGCGATCTTGGCTGAATGACTTCTAAAACCTGCCTTTTCTACAGATCACAGCAGAGCGAGTCTGCCTGCGCCAGCGGGAGAGCTGCCTGCATGGAACTGCAGACGCAGTCGGCTGTGGTGGAATTCATCATCAACCACACAGACGTCCTCTTCTGCTCCACATCCGGATCGGACATTGCAGATGGAGCAGGTGAGTGTCTTCCTCCATTAGCTTTATCTTGGTCAGACACCTGGATCGAATGCAGGCCTTTTCCAAGTCCTTTGAAATACACTTTTCCTGTCGAGGGAACAGCAGACTTCTGGGCTTAGATTGGAATCTGGCGTCCAGTTGCTGGATGCTGAGAATGTGCAAGCCCAAACGTGACAAGGAGAAAACTGTCACCATCATTATGATGTTTTGCAAGCAGGTGAAGCTTGATTAACGTGTGGCAGCGGAGCTTTCTCAGTTCCCTGTCCCCCTTTTCTAGGGTTTTTGTTTGTTTGTTTCCACACAGTGAGCTGCTCCTAATTATGACTGCGTCCTTTGCCATAGACACACCTCTGAGCACATGGTTGTTTTGAGCTGCTCTTCTTGCAGCGGCTCGGATAAGCAAGTCTGAGGAAAACACAGCAGCTCCCCCGGACCTGCGATGGCTGTGCTGCCGCTTTCTGATCCTGGCTCTCACCTGTGGTTTTCCCTTCCAGGGCACAGTTCTCTCTCAGGGCCCCAGTCTGTGCGGGCGTCTTCTGCTGCCACAGAGCTGCTCAGCCTGGAGGAGGCGCAGGCACGGAGGCGAGGCCACAGCAGCTCTCCTGTCGTTGTGACAGAGAGCAGGGACATAGGGGTGGAAGAAGGCCCCACAGCTGTACGGGGGAAATTCCACACAGTCATCGACTTTCCACCTGAAAGGTAAAGAGGACTTTGTTTTCCAGCAGCTATCATCACTGTTTGGGTGGGTTGTGTTTGTTCTGTCTCCATTATTTCTAGTGCCTAAACTTGTGGAAATTAGATTTAATGAATGGTGCCTGAAGTGTTGCAGTGAATCTCCCCTCCCTTTGGACTGTGAGATTCAACTAACACTGAGTTGCCCGCCGGGCTCAGTTTAGCCTCACAACGGTGCCGTTCCTTCCTTGCTGGGCAGGCAGTGACGAGATGCACAAAGCCACGCTGACGTCTACCCTGGCCTGTGCTGGCTGTACCTGGAAACGTTGGGGTTTTCCAGATTTCAGAGCCTCGTGCCTGAATCCAGTTCCGGATCTCCTCTACGCAGAGCTGTTGGTCAGACCTGCTGACACTAGAAACTAGACATGGCAGTGAAATGGGCCGATGAGCTGTCAGTGTCAGAGTCAGAGATGCTTTTGAAGTTCCTTTATGGCTGTGCAATTCCTCAGCCAGCAGTTATGCCTGCCTACTCAATCAAAGCCACCCTTTGATGCTGTCCTGTACAGGTGTGGAGCCTGTGGACCTCACATGCTCTGCATCTTGCTTGACACAGTTGAGGGGAATTTAGCCAGCAAGACTTCAGGGCTGAGCTATAGGAATGGAACCATCCTCAACTGCTTGAAATGGAGCGAGTTTCTAAGCTGTGTTTCAGCAGGAACCAGGCGGTGCTAGGAACAAGCAACTGTTGGCACGAGCTCAGTGCAGCTCTTCCCTCACCCTGCGCCACGCACGACTCACGCCATTCCCTGTTTTCTCTCTCCAGACCCAGTCCACCCAGCAAGATAAAGGAATCACCAGCTGGCTGTTGGTGTTCCTGCTTCAGCCTGGGGAAACCATCGTCTGGGGCCAAACGCCAGCCACAGCACCATCCCAGGGAGCCCTCAGAAATAGAAATCGTAGTGCTGGCAGGTAAGGGTGCAAATCCAGCTTTCAACGCCTTGCTTTTCAGCAACATAGAATTCTTGCTGTCAGTGGGCTTGTATCTACTTCCAGCGTTCCAACCCATACCTAACACCTTTAGTTCTCCCCTGATCAAGAACCCCTTTTGTAATTCAGCTTGTGAAAGTTTGGCACTAACCCCTGTGTATCCTTCCTAGATGAACTGAGCCCTTGTCCACCCAGAAGAGCTGGAGCAAGTAGCGAAGCTGGGCTGTGTGCTTCCACCAATGGAGAGCTCTTGGGAAGCACAAATGGCTGCGGATCACGTGACAGCCTTGCACGTAACAACAGTGATGGAGAGAGGGAGCTCATCCAAGTTGAAGCCCTCATTTCTCCTGGCTGTGCTGAAGATGCTGACCTGTGCCCACCAGGCACCGCAGTCACCAGCCTGGACTGTGACCCGGCACCTTTGCAGTGCAGCCCAGCCCAAGTACAGTCCGAGTGCCCGGACAGCAACACCTCTGTGCAGGAGCAGGTCAGCATCACCGAGGAGCAGCAGAGCCTCTTGGAGGGGGGCGTACAATCAGGCCTCCAGTCCCAGGCACCGTGCAGCATCTCTGAGAGCTCTGAGCCACTCTCTACGTGATCTTTCCATCCAAGAGAGGACGATTTCCATCTTTACCTGGACCTCTCACGCCCTCCTGTGTTTTCCTTTAATAATAAAAGCGCACTTATACTCACTCAACGCCTTGACTGCCTGTGGAGTCTTCATTCACGAGGACTGGGATGAATGCGGCACACAGCAAGGCACCTCTGCTGGCAACGCTGAGGCTGCAGGGTGCACGAAGCAGAGCTCTGGGTTATTTCCCATTCTGTCTGGCTTTGGGATGTCTGCAGGTCCCAGTTGGTACGGTAGCAAATAATCTCTAGCATCCTGGATTCTGCTCGTGGTGACCCCAAGCTTCCTGGCGGTGGCTTTGTGATGCCTTTCAGGGCTTTTGGATGCACTGTGATGCCTTGGCTGCTCCCTAGCACCTCTCTCCTCCGGCCGCGTCCATTCCTTGAAGGAATCAGCAGCTGGCTGTTGGTGTTCCTGTTTCAGCCTGGGAAAACCATCTTCTGTGGGCAAACGCCAACTGCAGTGCAATGCCAGGGAGCCTGCAGAAATGCAAGTCGTAGTGCTGGCAGGTAAGAGTGCAAATCCTGCTTCCAAAGCTCTGCTTTCCAGCAACATAGAATGCATGCTGTCACTGGGCTTGATTGCCCTTCTAGCGTTCCAGCCCATACCTGACACCTTCAGTTCTCCCCTGATCAAGAACCACTTTTGTAATTCAGCCTGGGAGAGTTTGACACCAACCCCTGTTCATTCTTTTATAGGTGATTCGTGCTCTTGTCAACCGAGCAGAGCCAGAGCATGTAGTGATGCTGGGCTGTGTGCTTCCACCAACGGAGAGCTGTTAGGAAGCACAAATGGCTGTGGTTCAGCTGACAGCCTGCCGCATAACAACAGTGATGGAAAGAAGGAGCTGATCCAAGTTGAAGCCCTCATTTCTCCCGGCTGACACAAAACTGGTCAGAGTGGCTGACACAGCAAAAGGCTGTGCTGCCTTCCAGCGAGACCTGGAGAGTTGGGTGGGGAGAAACGGAATGAGAAAGAACAAGGGCAGGTGTGGAGTCTTGCATCTGGGCAAGAGCAACCTGAGTACCAGTATAGGTTGGGGGCTGAGCTGTTGGAGAGCAGCGTAGGAGAAAGGGATTGGGGGATCCTGGTGGGCGGTAGGAGGAGCATGAGCCAGCACTGTGCTCTCGTGGCCAAGAGGGCATCGTGGGGTGTATGAGAAAGAGTACGGATAGGAGGTGGAGAGGTGCTCTTTCCCCTCTACTCTGCCCTGATGAGTGGAGCATCTCCCTGTGAGGAAAGGCTGGAGGAGACTGAGGGGTGACCTCGTTGATGTTTATAAATGTGTGAATAGTGAGCGTGAGGAGGATGAAGGCAAGCTCTTCTCAGTGACATCCAGTGATAGGACAAGGGGCAATGTGTGCAAGCTGGAGCATAGGAGGTCCCACATAAATAAGAAGAAAAACTTCTTCACGGCAAGGGTAACAGAACACTGGGATGGGCTGCCCAAAGAGGTTGTGGGATCTCCTGTGGAGACATTCAGCAGCTACCTGGACATGTTCCTGTGTGCCCTAATCTAGGTGATCCTGCCCCAGCAGGGGGATTGGACGAGGTGATCTTTGGAGGTCCCTTCCAATTCCTGACATTCTGTGATTCTGTGCAAACTTGGTTCACGGTAGTACTTTTGCTGCTGGGAAATAGGAGCGCTGATCTTTGGGGTAAGTTCAGCAAGGTGGACTCCCCTAAGCTGATACTGACTTCATCCTGTAGCGTTGACTTCTGTCCTGATTTATTCCATGCCAGAAGTTCCGGATGCTGTCAGGAGTTATTCAAGCCCATTGGTGTTAATTTGATCCTGGACTGGCTGCTGCTTGACATGCTGTCTGCACAGAGGTAACGCATGCATTAATTTGTTTCCTGTCCTCTGCTGTTTTGTCTCTTGTTTTTAGTTAATGCTGAAAACCCACCTACGGCTGTGGTTGGGAAATTGGTTCACTTGCTCGATCGGACCCAGATTTTCAGGAGGAGCTGGAGCTAATGAAACTGTGTGAGGAAGCTGTGACCTTGATCCGATCTAATCAACAGCTTGAAAATGACCTCAATCTCATGGACCTCAAGATTGGACTGCTAGTGAAGAACAGAATGACACTGCAGGTAGGAAATGCAGTGCTGGGAGACTAGGAGAGTGAATTGAGGCCAATGGCAGTTAGCATGAGGACCTTCTGAGCCTGGATCTCACTTACTCAGATGCAGTGGGAAGTATTTCCCCCAGAGTTACAGGTTTTCCTCCCAGTAAGTTCCTAACTGTTCCACTTATTACTATGTATCCCTAGAAAGAGAACTGCAGCAGAAACATCAAGGCTTCAAGTGTTTTAAAAACAAAGCACCAGAAAAAAACCCACTCGGGACCAAGGGAAAGCAATAGATGGTATGCTTGAAGGCTCTGAGAAGTGTTTGTCTCTTCACTTGTGATTACGTGAGTCATGGACTTGCACACCTCAATTTCTTCTCACGTTTTGTGTGCTGTATCAGAAGGGGGAGGTGATTTTGGAGCAGGAAATGTGCTCAGGCTGCTTGGTGTTGGTTGGCTGATGGAAGCCCCCTCTGTCACTTTGCTGACGATTGATTGCACACAAGAACAACGTTGCTGATACAGCGGTGCCTTTTTTTAACTCAAGCTGAAGTTACAGTCACCTTTTCCTTTGGTCCTGAATAGCGTGGTGCTAGGCTTGACCTTGTGTAAAATCTGAACCATGGCAGCAGTAAAGTTCAGTTCCAAAGGAGGTTCCAGCTCTTGGGCTGATGCTGGCAGCAAAAAGTATCATCGTTATCAGAGCGGTGGAGGCAGGGAGTCAGCAAAATGGAAGCAGGGCTTGGGGCTTCAAGCACAGTTGAGAAAGAAAGGCATTTTCAAGCATCTTCAGAACGCTACCAGCTGTGACAGTAGTCCCTGCTCAAAGCAATTAGTCCTTGTAGGTTCTCAACCAATTCTGGAACGTGGGGACAAGACAGAAATCGCTGCTACAACAGATAATGTTTCACTTCATGATCTCCTGATGTACCTTGACTGCCTTATCCACACATAAGGAAGTGCTATCGTGCAGCTTTTTCCCATATTGCGTGTTATTTAAATGTGGAATCTGTCCCTCTGTGTTCTTTGCAGGATGTTGTTTCTCATAGCAAAAATCTTAGCAAGGAGAACAAGGAACAGCTCTCTGACGTGATGACGCTGAACGAGCAAAAGGGAGGTTTGAAAGCTTTGAGCAAAGAGGAGAGGGAAAAGCTGGAAGGCTATCAGCACCTTTTCTACTTGAGGTATGCAGCTTTTCATTCACTGCTCTTGTCGTAGATGCTTACGTGTATTGGAACAGTCTGTGCTTATGCTCTGCAGTGTTGAGGCGCTGTCTGTCTTTGTGGTGTTGGCTTTTGTGGACACGTGCTGTATGGGAACTGCTGAGTCATGGCCTGAACCTCTGATTGATCACCTGAGGCGAGCAGTGAGTCAGGCAGAGGAGCACAGGTGAAGGCAGTGCAGCTGTGCTGCTGGAAGGGGTGCAGCCAGGCTACAGCCCTCCTAGACCTGTTTAAGAGCTGGCTGCCAGTGGGGAAGGATCTCGTCTGGAGATCTGCTCTGCTGGAGTTTTGTAAGTGAGCCCAGGATAGGGGTAAGCCTTCTATTTATTCTCCTTTTGTTAGCTTAGTCTGCTTTGTCAAACTCTCTTGTTTATTTCATAATGACAACATCTTAATAGTCATTGATTATACACGTGCACTAAGTACTTTTTCTTCTTGTTTTAGACTACTCCAACGTACTTGGCCAAGCTGCTTTTGCAGATGCCTCAAAACAAACCCACAGAGTTCATGGATTCAGCCATCTTCACGCTGCATAACTACGCATCCAGTCAGAGAGAGGAATCTCTGCTGTTGCGGCTGTTGCAAACAGCATTGCAGGAAGAGATCAAGTACGTTGTAGCGTAGGACACAGCCTTGCTGTTGCCTGAGTTTGGGCCGCTGCTAAAATTGCAGCTGTTGTTGTGTGATGTCCCGTGCTCATTAGCTGATAATGCTGAACTGTCCCTGCCTTCTGCTCATGCTGTTTCACGTCAGTCCTTTCTGTAACCTGGAAGGAGGAGGAATTACCTTTGTTCTTTAGGATTAAAGCCATTTTTCTTTAGCCAATGCTTTCTTGCTCAGGGAGGCACTATTTTTGATCTGCTGCAGCGCTTTCCTAAGATTCATTCCCATCTAAGTTCTCTGCTGTCTAGTAAGAAGGACTTGGAACAGACTGCGAGCTTGGGCTTTACAGGCCAGAGTGAAGCTGATGCGAAGGTCACTGTTTTCCAAAACTGATGAGGAGGCTGAAAATCAGATGCTGTCTGGTTTGGGTTTTTTACTGGCTGTCAGGCTTAAGGATTCTGGCTGTCTGTCGGCATAATGGAGTTGATTGGCACTTAGGAGTTTGGTGTTTATGACTTCTGGCTGATACGGAGCTTCACAACTTGCTAGGAATAGCAAATACATATAATGTTGGAGGCAGTCATGCCTTTTTTGATGCTTTTAAGTATGAGGATGGTATGTGCCCTCCAACAGGTAACGCCTAAAAGGTTTGTTTAATTATTATTATCTTTTCTTGGAGTAGTAGTTCAGGAAAGTGCATGTCTATGCTTTATTCTCTGCTGCTGGATTTCCCATAGCGGCATGCTGTGAATGGCTTTTGTTGCTGATTGCTTACTTGTTTAAATACTGAAAGAAAATAGTTGTGCCTGTGTAGAACTCCCTTTGTTTCCTCTGTATTTTTGAGATGCGCTCTTTCAACCGTGGTGCCCGTGGTCAGAACGCACTGAGGCAGATCTTGGCCCCAGTTGTGAAGGAAATAATTGAGGACGAATCGCTCAACGTCAGAACGGATCCAGTGGATGTTTACAAGTGCTGGGTTAACCAGATGGGATCTCAGAATGGTGAGGCCGGGTATGGAAGCTGTTGCTACCGGTTTTTTCTGAAAGTTGCTCAGCTGCTTTGCATTGCTCTATTAATCGTTCCAAACCATCCCTGGATTCATTGCATGCATCTGTCCAATGGATACCGGCTTTTTTCCATCAGCTCGAGATGGCTTTCTTCTGAAAGGTATAAAGATCATCTTGTGACAGGGTTGTTGAGCCTATTAGAAGTGAATCTCATGAAGAGATAGGCCAAGAAAAGCCCCAAAGCATTTCTTCTGTGTTAACTCATAGGTACAGATACCATAGCTCTTACTCTACCAAGCCAATCTCTGCCCACAACTCGGGCAGGCTGCCCAAGGAGGCTGTGGATGCCCCATCCCTGGAGGCGTTCAAGGCCTGGCTGGATGTGGCTCTGGACAACCTGGGCTGGCGGTTGGTGAACCTGCACGCAGCGGGGGGTTGGAACGAGATGAGCATTGTGGTCCTTGTCAACACAGGCCGTGTTCATAGAATCACAGCATGCAGCTGTTCCTGTCTGCCCATGAGAAGGTTTCATCCACCTGGTCATCCTGGTTGGTTGGCCTGTAGATCCCCCGCTACGTCATCTGTCCCTGTCCTCCCTTTAATCTGTGTCTATAAAGTCTTGATGGGCTCCCATCCGTCCCCAGTCAGAGTTCTGTGTTTCTTCCAGTGCTTGATGTTCACCAGATTTTGAGGGTTCTGTTGTTGGTTGTATTTGTTTTGTTTTTAAGGCACGTCAAGGGAAGTGGTGGAAAAGCAATGCTATGAAGTAAAAGACAACTGTCCCAGCGCAGCACGCTGCGTGAGTTACTATCTTAACACTGCAATGTGCAGCTTGTGTTTTCACTGATTTGTTTGCGACCTGAGGTGCTACTGCGTATCGCAGGTGACCTTCTTGACTCTAGAGAGCGTGTCTGCATGTGGTACAGAAAGATACAGTTCAGAGTTAGCTGGGCCTGTTCTCACAGCGACTGCTGCAGGGACAGCAGAGGACGTGAGAAGTCCTTTGCTCTTTCAGTGCTAGAATTCTAATGAAAGTGAACGTGCAGCTCTTTGCAGCCAGGTGAGCGTGGATCTGTTTGTGTGTCAAGCCAAAAATTCTGCCTGGCACTGACAAAAGTATATTAGGCTGAGGAGTGCTCTCCTTCACATCTGACTTTTCCAAATAGCAAGTTGCCGTACGATGTTGCACCTGAACAAGCTCTTAATCACGGTGAGGTGAGGACGCACCTGGATGCCTCAATCCGAGATGTGAAGGCAGTGACAGACAAGTTCCTGTCTGCCATCGTTGTTCAGCTGACCAAATCCCGTAAGTCTGGTGTGTCACCGCGTTATCCTGCAGCAGTTAATAGTGGGTTCATCCGTGAGGAATTCTCACTTGCCTTTTATTTCCTTCGAAGTTACGGGATGCGTTTCATCGCCAAGGTACTGAAAGACTCCCGGCATGACAAGTTTCCTGATGCTGGCGAGGATGAGCTTCTGAAGGTAAGGAGCTGAGCAGCTCTGTGAATAAAGACGCTTTTTTCAGGTTGCTTGTGAGGTTCCTGAATTGCAGTATAAGTTCAGTATTGATGAGTATTTTGGCTTCCTTCCTTGTCTGTCCCTTCTGCAGAGCTTATAGCCATCAATCTCAACGCGCCAGTCATGGGAGCAGTCCCACCATGTTTCAGTAACAGCAGCTAGATCGTAGTTAGCCTGGTGCACAATGGCTTCCAGTTCCTCCTGCTTGTTGCTCATGCTGCGTGCATTGGTATAGGTGCACTTGAGCCGAGTCATTTGCCTGACTCCCAGCTCTAAAATCGTTCCCCCAGGCTCTTCTCTTGTGAGGCCTGTACTGTCCCCTTCCCCCGTCATAATTAGTTGATTGCACAGGAAGAAAAGCTTGATGTCTGTGCCAAGGGAGACGTACACCGCACTTGCGCTGCCTGGACGATGTGGAAACTGGAAATTGTGGGGTGTGCTGAAGCATGCCCTCTCAGGTCAGTCTAAGCATCCATAGAGTAGACCTGTCTAGCAAAACAGGGAATAGACAGTTAAACCCATTCTGCTGGGAAATACTCTCTCCTTCTAAGTACCTTTAGAACGTGAGTTTCTTCAGTTAATTACTCAACTCATTTGCTTTTCCTGAATGATCCTAAGTTCTTTTCTCAGGCGACATCTGCACTCTGCTCAGTCCAAGGAGAAATCCCTGCCCGCAGATGCAATGACACAGCGTGGCTCCCAACCTCATTTTTCATTGCTTACTCTTATGGTAGCTGCCATCCATGTCCACCCTGCATATTCTTAGAGCTCTTCTGGAGTCCATGGGACAGACTTATGGTTGAACTAAAGGGAATTTTTTTATAATGCTCTAGCTCCAGATGATTATCCCTAGTATCATTATATTAAAAAAAAAAAAAGGCATTTTGAAGTAGCGCGATATATCTTCTGTGCCTCCGAATGTGGCACGTGTGGCATGAGAGAGTTGTGAGGCCACGAGGACTGCCCAGACAGCATGAGAACTGTAAGAGCAGAGAGCTATAGGTGATGCAGCGCTATTGGTGCCACCCGCAGGAAGCGGTAGCTGGAACAAAATATGGCCAGAAGAGTGATCAGATTGCGTTTGGTAAGGAACTATTTCATTGGTTGTAGAACTTTGACAAAATGTATATTTATCCGGGGAACTACAGGCCTGTTAGCCTGACCTCGGTGCCAGGGAAGGTTATGGAGCAGATTGTCTTGAGGGAGATCATGCGGCATGTGCAGGGTGACCGGGGGATCAGGCCTAGCCAGCATGGGTTCATGAAGGGCAGGTCCTGTTTGACCAACCTGATCTCCTTCTATGATCTAGTGACCCATCTGGTGGATGAGGGAAAGGCTGTTGATGTGGTCTACCTAGACTTCAGCAAAGCCTTTGACACTGTCTCCCACAGCATTCTCCTGCAGAAGCTGGCAGCCAGAGGCTTGGATGGATACACTCTTGGCTGGGTAAGGAGCTGGTTGGAGGGCCGGGCACAGAGAGTGGTGGTAAATGGAGTCAAATCCAGCTGGCGACCGGTTGTGAGTGGTGTTCCCCAGGGGTCGGTGCTGGGGCCTGTCCTCTTCAATATCTTTATTGATGACCTCGATGAGGGCATCGAGTGCACCCTCAGTAAATTCGCAGATGACACCAAATTGGCTGGAAGTGTGGATCTGCCTGGGGGTAGCGAGGCCCTACAGAGGGATCTGGACAGGCTGGAGAGTTGGGCTGAAGCCAATAGGATGAGTTTCAACAAGGCCAAATGCCGGGTCCTGCACTTCGGCCACAACAACCCCAGGCGACGCTACAGGCTTGGGGCGGTGTGGCTGGAGGACTGCATAGAGGAAATGGACCTGGGGGTATTGATTGATGCTCGGCTGAACATGAGCCGACAGTGTGCCCAGGTGGCCAAGAAGGCCAATGGCATCCTGGCTTGCATCAGAAACAGTGTTGCAAGCAGGAGCAGAGAGGTGATTGTTCCCCTGTATTCAGCACTGGTGAGGCCGCACCTCGAGTACTGTGTCCAGTTTTGGGCCCCTCACTGCAAGAAAGATATTGAGGCCCTGGAACGTGTTCAAAGGAGGGCGACAAAGCTGGTCAGGGGTCTGGAACACAGGCCATATGAGGAGAGGCTGAAGGAGCTGGGAATGTTCAGCCTGGAGAAGAGGAGGCTCAGGGGAGACCTCATTGCTCTCTATAACTTCCTGAAGGGAGGCTGTAGTGAGCTGGGGGTCGGCCTCTTCTCTCGTGTCATTAGTGATAGGACCAGGGGGAATGGCTTCAAGCTACGGCAGGGGAGATTCAGGCTGGACATGAGGAAGTATTACTTTTCGGAAAGGGTGGTCAGGCACTGGAACGGACTGCCCAGGGAGGTGGTGGAGTCACCGACCCTGGGGGTGTTCAAGGAAAGACTGGATGTTGTATTGAGGGACATGGTTTAGTAGGAGCTATTGGGAATAGGTGAACGGTTGGACTGGATGATCTTTTAGGTCTTTTCCAACCTTGGTGATTCTATGATTCTATGATTCTATGATGATCAGCGTGCCAGATGCTGGGATCATGCCGAAAGAGAAATGGTCTGAAAACGTCGGTGCAATTTGCAATATATCCCCTTCCACAAAGCCCTCAGATCCATGCTCCAGCTGCATCCAAAGCAACGCAGAGCCCTGTGCTTGTTGTACCCGGAGCTGTCGGTGCCAGGAGTTGCCGCTGTGTTTGCAAGGACGTTGTGTCAGCAGTGTGACGTCAGTGGGGTTGTTTGATGGCAATGAAACCGCTGAATGGTGTACCTCAAGACTGAGAAAGAAGATGGTAGTGGTGACTGTGTGTCTAGGTATAGATAGCTTGATACAGATCTATAGGACTGCAGTGTGGATTGTACATAGGCCCTGCGCTGCGAGGTACGCTGTTGGGAAGCAATGTCCATCTGCCCGAGGCAGGAAGGCCCTGCAGAGGGACGGCCTGAGGCCAGCCGTACGAGGCTGCACAGGAGCAAGCGCTGGGTCCTGCGCTGTGGTCATGACAACCGCATGGCAGCTTGTGCAGGATTGGGCTGAGGTAGAATTCCAACCGCCCACTGATTCTAGAATGTTGGGTGTTGGGTGTTGGAATCTTCTGGTCCTGTGACATGGTCTTGCCTCCCCACCCTGTCGTCATGGCGGAGCAGCCTGGTGGCCCTTAGTGATGTCACAAGAGGCTGGAATGAGGGGAGGAGCAGTGCGTGCTGCGTCCCTTCATTGGAGCGCTTGAGCTCTGCGTGAGTAGCTCGCTTGTTGCCCTTGTGCAGCGACTGAGTGCCTTCATTTTCACCCCTTGTGTCTTGTGCAGCATCTTGTAGGTAAGCTGAGACAGGGTGTGGAATGGACGGGTGGGCAGAGAGCTGTTGAAAACTGCTGTCTGGTGGAGCTCCTAGCAGCTCACACTGCTTACTCTTGTCCATCAGACGTAACTTTCAGCCAGTACCTGCATTCCCAAGCGATCCACAAAGATGGCATTTGTCCCATGGCTTTTCCCTTGTCATCTTTGCTGCATTGTGCAAGCTCACAGACCTGTTCCTTCTCTCTCCTCTACCCGCTCCCTTGGTGCAGCTTTCGCTCGTGGAAGCACAGAGCAAAGTGACAAGAATCAGCTGCGAGTTCAAGGAATTGTCTACCTTGTTCTGATCTCCTGCCAGGTACGTGCCACGCTTTGTCCCCCCACGTGGTTGACCAGCAGTGTGTCGCACCATGTTTGGTAACACAGCCTCACCCAGCTTTGATGGGACACTGGTCCCGTGTGGGTTTTTTCCCTTCCCGTGCAGCTCGGTCCTGTGGAGGATGCTGTGTGTGGTGCTGTGACCAGCTGATCTGAAGGAAGCCAAACCCTTAGGCAAAGAGTCCTTGGCCCAGTTTGTGCCGAGCTGCACAGTGTGACCCAAGGTCACAAGCACGCATGCCTGGGCTGTGTGAGTGTGCGCGGCAGCTGTAGGGAGCACAGCAGAGATGCAAGCAGAGGAAATCCTTGATGTGCGGGGCTGCAGCAGGTGCCGGTGGTGAGGCTGGTGGGAGCCGTGGCTGGGGAGCAGATGCACCTGCAGCAATGATTCCTCTCACTGCCCTGCTGCTGCGCTGTCAGAGCGCCCTGGGCGAATGCATCTGCTGCTTTGTGCCAGTCCCCATCTGCTAGCAGAGGGACAGCCGCTTGGTCAAATGCTGCCTAATGGGCTGTCCCATTTGAACGGAGTGGACAGAGTGGTTGCTTCTAGAGCACCTGCCTGTGCCAGAGGATAGCCAAGGGTAGTTCTCCAGTAGTCTCTCAATACTGTGGTGTGTGAAGAGAGAAAATATGAGCGTGTTTCTCTTCAGTTCCAGCTTGTCGTGCCTGCTGTGATGGGCGTCGCGTGCAGCGAGATCAGCTGTGGGCCTGACATCACACGGATGGAGGTAGAGTACGGAGCTCTGATTGATCTTTGTTCCCTGACTTGAGCCAGCAGAGTGAGCTGCAGATGTGCTCTCCTGCTTTTCAAGAGAGAGCGAATCCTTGCGGCTCTATCAGTGTCACTGAAAAGCTGCCTTCAAGGCTTTCTTTCCTTGCTGCGGGCATGTTCTTAGCCTTGCCGTTCCTTCTTGTGTGCCCATGATAAGGATGGAGTGCACTTCCTGCAGCTTTCTCTGCTGACATGCTCCTCAGCCTGAAATCCTCCTCGTTTGCCCTCAGCTCCTCACCATGGCCTGTGCTCTCTGTTTCAGGCTGAGAACAACGGGAAGCCCCGGCTGGTCCGTGAGGAGTCATCTCTTAATATCCCAGCTATTGCTGCTGCCCACGTTATTAAGAGATACGTTGCCCAGGCACCGGGTGAACTCTCCTTGGAGGTAAGCAGTTAAGGGCGTTCCTTGTTGTCCTGTACAGAAGAGTATAACATGTGAAGCTATCAGGAACATTCTCAGACACCTTCAGAGTGTTTGGTGTGGTGAAGCCCAGCAGATGCGGTTCCAGGTTAGACTTGCACTGGGTTGGATGCAGGGAGGAGTTCAGCCATCTCTAAACTATGGCTCTATTTTGCATTTGGATCTTGTGATCCAAGAGCTACTGCCCAGTGTGGTAGCCTGGTCTCTGAGCAATGGCAGAGCAGTGTATGGAGTGTGCAGATCTGTTCAGGCTCTGTTTGGCTGACTTATGCCTGCGGTTTAATTGGAGCTCTCCCTTTGGCAAAGAGCCTGCTGCTTTTGAGAACCATTTGGTACTGAACAGCTGAATTCCGTATGTTGTGTATTGGAGTGACTCTTGTACCTCCACGTTCAGTTGTACGACTGCAAATGCCTTAAGAGCTGCACTGGTGCAATCGCTCTCTAGCTTGACGATATTGGGCAGTGCAGAAGAATGCAGTCATTTGAGCTGCGCTTTCCTCTCAGCTGTGCTGTAGCTGGGATTGACGTTGCAATCTCTTGCAGGTGGGAGACCTCGTGTGCATCATCGAGATGCCGCCTCAGGAGCTGAGCCCCCGCTGGAGAGGCAAGCACGGCTTTCAGGTAGGCCCAAGCTTCAGACGTGAGAGCACAACTTCGGTCGAGGCAGGAATCTCAGCTTAGAGCTGCCCTGCCTGCACAGCGTGGCTCCACATGGAAAATGGTTTCCTTGTGCTGGTGTCAGAGGACTTTCCCTTTTGCCGTGGGCTTGGGCCACAGCTGAAAGTTGGTCTTTGTAGGAAACTGCCTCCTCAGTTAACTTAGAAAGAAGAGCCCTCACAGCGTGCATCAGGTCACGGCCACTGAACCGCACCTTTGGAAATGCAGCAGCTAGGACACGTGTTTCAGTGTCTCTGAGCTCTTGTGCTTGCACCCATGCAGAAGGTGAAGTCAGTGTCTTTTAGGAAGTCGCTGCCTGTCAGCTGAGATGAGGCAGGGTAACAGAGCCTCTGCGTGCTTGCTGCTGCTGCTGGCTGCAGAAGGCTGGGTAGCTCAGAGCTGGGGATGGCAGCAGCATCTCGGTCAGCAAGCAGAAATTTCATAGGCTGTGCTAACTCAGATCTAGCTGCATCAATCTATCATAATATATAGCTTCTGTATGAAGTCTTTCCCTTCGGGCACGCTTGAGATTTAGGGGTGCATAGCATACTTGTCCTTTCCCCGCTCCATACACAGTTTTATGGATATTTGCCTGCCAATTTGGAATAATTATTAATTTTAAGCAGGCCATTTTTTGGTTGGATTGTCTTACGGAGCATCCGGCAGGCACGTGATGAGGAAAAGGTGATGTTTGAACAGTTCAGGCCTGAGAAACGCTGCCTTCAGAATCGCACCTCTCTTCTTCTTGTTACAGGTTGGATTTTTCCCTGGTGAGTGTGTGGAGCTCATTAACGGAAAAATCCCAGAGTCTCTCATCAATTCAGTGCCAAAGCCAGGTACGATGAGACATTTGATGGTGCAGGGAAGCTAAATGGAGTCTTTTTTGGGTGTGTTCCATGTTTAATACCTCCCTTATCCTTCCCCCCTTATCCTTCCCCCCTTATCCTCTGTGCTGATGATCCTTCATGCATAGCACGGGGTGTATGGCTGGTGTTTTGTAGGCAGTGAGAATGAGGGAAGGCCAAGGCAGTTCTCCTGCAAGTCCGTACGAGGCTGAGAACAGCCAGCGTCCCTGGTGGACAGATAGAGGTCTGGTTGTGCTAGTGACACGCTTGATCAGAACGTGGCTTTTCAAGAGGGTCCTTAATGCCCAGGTTGAGCAAGCTAAGCAAGAGGAGTGCATTCAACTCCATCAGAACGTGCAGAGATTTGGCCCAGTCCTGCTGTGTTTATGACTGGAGTTGGGGATATCCTAGAATCCTTGTAGAATGGCTTGGCATGGAAGGCAGCTCGAGGATCATCAAGCTCCAAGCCCCCCTGCCTCAAGCTGGGCTGCCAACCAAGCACCACGTCTAATGTGGGACTGGACCGGGCTGCCCAGGGCCCCATCCAGTCTGGCCTTGGACTTCTCCAGGGTTGGGGAAAATCCATTTTGGTACGCACTTGCTCATCATGTTCTTCCCGTTTTGAGGTGCTCTGTAGAATGTGTTGTGCTCGGCCTCGTCCAACGGAGCCAAGCCTAAAATAAACTGTTTTCTTCCTTTTGTTGTGCAGTGCCAAAGAAGCGCGGCAAGCTCCTCACCTTCCTTCGTTCCGTGGTGAAGGCCCGCCCGAAGCAACGGAAAGAGCGGGAGGTGGAGAAGGAGAGGGTGTTTGGCCGTGACCTGGGAGAGCATCTTCTCCACTCTGGTCGTGATGGTAAGGGACAGCCCATTCCTGAGAGCTTCCCTGTTTGAGAACCTAGAGATGAAAGGGAGATGGTATGTAGCAAGGGGCAGGTTGATACCAGTGGAGAAACGGGGAATGGGAGTTGAGGACTGAAAGATCAACTGAGGAGGTGATGGCTGCAAGGGAAATGCTCCTAAGGGACAAACGCATGTGCATTTGCTTAAAGCAAAGCCTGTAAGCCAATCCCCTGGTAGCCTGAAATGAAAGGAAGCCTTTTGCATCCGTTTCCCAGCTCCTTGCGGGCATGAGATTTTCCACCTCCGTTCCCGTGGGAGCTGTGATGGGACTTGCAAGTTCTGTGGCTTCCCCGGAATTACTTTCTCCAGGCTGATTCCTAGGTCCTGGCATTTCTGGAATGCAAGGCACACATCTGTGTCCAGTTTCCTCAGCAGCTCCTGCAGAGGCGTCTCTGACAGCTGTCCCCTTCCTTCAAGGAAGAACTGAGCAGTAGCCTGGCTGGGCTTAGTGGATGGGATGTGACGGGAGCGCAGCCTGAGGCAGGACTTGACTAAGGAGCTCCAGTAACCGCCGGCACGTGTTCTTTAGTCCCCCAGGTCCTCCAGAGCTGCGCCGAGTTCATCGAGCAGCATGGCGTGGTGCAGGGGATATACCGCCTGTCCGGCGTGGCGTCCAACGTCCAGAGACTGCGGTAAGAGTGCTGCGACTGACAGACACAGCTGCCAGCAGGGGCACGTGCCCTGTTGCAGGCGTTCAGAGGCCTGCGGGCAATGCCTTAGCACAGAGAAAAGGTCTCCTTTGGGAACATCCCATCCAGCACGGCAGACGTGGTGCTGGTGGCCGAGTGTTTGTGTTCTCCTGTACATCAGGAAGCCCTTCCGACTCTTGATTGCATTGGGTGTGGCTTTTGACTTGCTTTCCTCTTTCTCAACCACTTTTGTGTCCTTCTCTGCAGCCAGGAATTTGAGTCTGAGCAGGTTCCTGAGCTAACCGTCCGCGACGTTCACAGCGCGAGCTCCCTCTGCAAAATGTACTTCAGGGAGCTCCCGACCCCCCTGCTGACCGACCAGCTGTACGACAAGTTCTCGGTAAGCACGAGGCAACGCCTTTCCTTTCCCTCTTCCCTGGGCCTCTTGGGAGATGGCTGCAGCAGTGCCCCAGCTCTGAGGCCCTTCTGTTAGCCCCATGGGGTTTACTCGCATGTCTTTGCCACATCCTGCATCGTGCTGATGCCACTTCTGGTGGGAGGTGGTTATTTCCATATTCACAATGCTTGCCAGAATTCCTGTGTTGGTTAGTTGTTTGTTTTTTACTATTCCCCAACTCTTTCTGGAACGGGAAGGGGATTAATAGCCAAGTGTACTTGGAGATGAATGCCCCTGTGAGGAGCTGAGCTGCCCAACCAGGCTGTAAACTGGCCCGGTGCTTGGACTCCTTGGCCTTGGTGGCACCAGCTGCATGCTGCTATGTTTGCCAGTTGCCTCTGGGGAGGCCTAAAATCTTTCTCAGTGCTGACCAGCAGCGCGCTGTGCCCATGGTTCCCGACCCTGCGGCAGGTATCTCTCCTGATTTGTGTCTCAATCCCTTTCTGCCCTTTTCCAGGATGCTGTTGGTGCCACTACAGAGGAGGAGCGGCTGGTCAGAATGCGGGACGTCATCCAGCAGCTGCCCGCTCCTCACTACAGGTCAGTGCTGCCCTCAGCCTGCTGAGCTCAGCCCTGCTGCACTTCAGAGGGCAATGGTGCGATTCCAGGCTTTGTCTCACGTGAGCAACACGATGCCTGGGTATGCTGAAACGCTGCATGCGGTTAAATTGTGGGGTCAGTTCCTGGGCACGGGAGCACGCTTGGTGCAGCTGATGGCTGTGGCTGTGCTGTGCTGGTGCTGGGTGCTGCAGCGTGGCACTTGGTCAAGTTGGATCTACTTCATCTTCAGTGACAGTAGCAGTAATAACAACTAGTGTGAATTGAGGTTTGCTTTGTGAGTGGCAGCACGGCATGCTGGCTGGTGCTGAACATTTGCCGCTCTTGTTTCCCAGGACCCTGGCGTATCTGATGAGACACTTGGCCTGTCTGTCTGCGCACAGCTCTGTCACCAACATGCACGCTAAGAACTTAGCCATTGTGTGGGCTCCAAACCTCCTAAGGTAAACTTCTTTTTCCGTTTCAACAGAACGCTTACATCTGTTCTCCAGTAGAATAAAGCAGTCCTCCCTTCTTCTGCACCACATGTGCTCTTCTCCTGTAAAATGTGCAGTGAGTGGCTGACAGCAGAGCAGGAGCCTGGACTGTTCTCCAACCCCGCGTGGGCACAATTTCTAGCTGAGCATTGCTGCTCTCTTGTTTAGATGGGACTGGTGTGTCCTTGATCAGCCAGGAGAACTTCTTCAGTGGCATCACTGATTGCCCACTGCGGAAGTCTCCGGAGCCCAGTTTGACAGCTTTGGGCTGCAGTAATTCAGACCCGGGAAGCGATCTTGGCTGAATGACTTCTAAAACCTGCCTTTTCTACAGATCACAGCAGAGCGAGTCTGCCTGCGCCAGCGGGAGAGCTGCCTGCACGGAACTGCAGACGCAGTCGGCCGTGGTGGAATTCATCATCGCCCACACGGACGTCCTCTTCTGCTCCACATCTGGACCTGACATTGCAGATGGAGCAGGTGAGTGTCTTCCTCCATTAGCTTTATCTTGGTCAGACACCTGGATCAAATGCAGGCCTTCTCCAAGTCCTTTGAAATCCTCTGTTACTATCGAGGGGACAGCAGACTTCTGGGCTTAGGTTAGAATCTGGCTGTTAGGGGCTTAGGTTAGAATCCCTGTTGCTGGATGCTGAGAATGTGCAAGCCCAAACGTGCCAAGGAGAACACTGTCACCGTCATTATGATGTTTTGCAAGGAGGTAAAGCTTGGTGAAAGTGTGGCAGCGAAGCTTTCTCAGTTCCCTGTCCCCCTTTTCTAGGGTTTTTGTTTGTTTGTTTCCACACAGTGAGCTGCTCCTAATTATGACTGCGTCCTTTGCCATAGACACACCTCTGAGCACATGGTTGTTTTGAGCTGCTCTTCTTGCAGCGGCTCGGATAAGCAAATCTGAGAGAAACACAGCAGCTCCCCCGGACCTGTGATGGCTGTGCTGCCGCTTTCTGATCCTGGCTCTCACCTGTGGTTTTCCCTTCCAGGGCACAGCTCTCTCTCAGGGCCCCAGTCTGTGCGGGCGTCTTCTGCTGCCACAGAGCTGCTCAGCCTGGAGGAGGCGCAGGCACGGAGGCGAGGCCACAGCAGCTCTCCTGTCATTGTGACAGAGAGCAGGGACATAGAGGTGGAAGAAGGCCCCACAGCTGTACGGGGGAAATTGCACACAGTCATCGACTTTCCATCTGAAAGGTAAAGAGGACTTCCTGTACCTGGGAAACATTGGGGTTTTCCGACTTCAGGGCCACGTGCCTGAATCCAATTCCAGTTCTCCTCAAAGCAGAGCTGTTCGTCAGACCTGCTGGCACAAGAAACAGGACATGGCAGTGAGATGGGGCTGATGAGCTGTCAGTGTCAGAGATGCTTTTGGAGTTCCACGCACGGCTCACACCATTCCCTCTTTCCTCTCTCCAGACCAAGTCCACCCAGCAGGATGAAGGAATCACCAGCTGGCTGTTGGTGTTCCTGCTTCAGTCTGGGAAAACCATCCTCCGTGGCCAAAGGCCAACCGCAGCGCCGTCCCAGGGAGCCGTCAGAGACAGACGTTGTAGTGCTGGCAGGTAAGGGTGCAAATCCAGCTTTCAACACCCTGCTTTTCAGCAACATGGAATTCGTGCTGTCAGTGGGCTTGTATCTCCTTCTAGCGTTCCAGCCCATACCTGACACCTTCAGTTCTCCCCTGATCAAGAAGCACTTTTGTAATTCAGCTTGTGAGAGTTTGACACGAACCCCTGTTCATTCTTTTATAGGTGATTCGAGCTCTTGTCAACCCAGATGTGCCAGAGCAAGTAGCGATGCTGGGCTGTGTGCTTCCATGAATGGAGAGCTGTTAGGAAGCACAAATGGCTGCGGTTCAGCTGACAGCCTGCTGCATAACAACAGTGGTGGACACAAGGAGCTCATCCAAGTTCAAGCCCTCATTTCTCCCAGCTCTGCTGCAGATGCTGACCTGAGCCCGCCAGACACCACAGGCACCAGCCTGGACTGTGACCCGGTGCCTCTGCAGTGCAGCCCAGCCCAAGCGCAGCCTGAGTGCCCCGACAGCAGCACCTCCATGCAGGAGCAGGTCAGCAGCAGCGAGGAGCAGCTGAGCCTCTTGGAGGGGGACTTAGAATCAAGCCTCCAGTCCCAGGCACCGTGCAGCGGCTCTGACAGCTCTGAGCCACTCTCTCCGTGAGCTTTCCACCCAAGAGAGGACGATTCCCATCTTTACCCGGACCTCTCACGCCCTCCTGTCTTTTCCTTTATTAATAAAAGCACACTTGTGCTCACTCAACGCCTTGACTGCCTGAGGAGATTTCGTTCCCGGGGACTGGGATGAATGCAACAACCAGCAAGGCACCTGAGCTTGCAACGCTGAGGCTGTGGGGTGCATGAAGCAGAGCTCCAGGCTTGTTCCCGTTTTGTCTGGCTTCGGGATGTCTGCAGCTCCCATTCGGTACGGTAGCAAATAATCTCTAGCATCCTGGATGCTGCTCGTGATAACCCCGAGCTTCCTGGCGGTGGCTTTGTGACGCCTTTAAGGGCTTTTTGATGCACTGTGATGCCTTGGCTGCTCCCTAACACCTCTCTTCTCCTGCCGCGTCCATTCCTGGCTCCCAACCTCCAAGCTGCCTGCGCAGATCATCTGCAGCCCCGTTACCATCACGCTGCAGAAGGACGAGCTCATTCAGACCCGGCCTCTCATTGGTCAGCGGCAGCGCTGTCCCGCCCCCGCCTGCCTCTTATTCGTCAGCGGCAGCGCTATCCCGCCCCCACCAGTCTCTCATTGGTCAGCGGTAGCGCTGCCCCCTCCCCCGGGGGTTCCTTGATCTGCGGTTGCTCTGCCGGCTGTGATTGGCTGAGCCGCCGTGCGGGGGAGCGGGCGTTGGGGGCCGGCTGTTGGAGGCGCGGAAGACCTCAGTGGCAGCCGTTGCTGTCCGGGCAGCAGCGAGGCGGAAGCCGCAGAGCGACGGGAGCGAGTGCTGAGGGCAGCTCCGCCGGAGGTGTGCGGGAGAGCTGTGCGGGACAGGGAGAGGAGCCCTGCGCGGCCCCAAGAAGGGGAAATAGCTGTAAAGTGGAGCACGGGAAGTTCCGCCCGTGGACGAGAAGGGAGTTCTTCACGGTGAGGATGGCGCAGCTCTGGAACAGGCTGCCCAGGGAGGCCGTGGCTTCTCCTTGTCTGGAGATATTCCAGTACCGCCTGGACGCCCAGGGAATTTTTTTCCGCTCTCTGTGCTGCCCTCGTGTGGCCGATTTGCGGAACTGCACTGAAGTGTTTTCCGTTCTCTGTGCTGCCCTCATGTGGCCAATATGCAGAACTGCAAAGAAGTTTTTTTCGCAGTTCTTGCTGCCCCCGTGTGGCCAACATACGGAACTGCATCCAACTTTTTTCCGCGGTCTCTGGTGTCCCCGCGTAACCAATCGGTGCCCAACAACGAGCATGTAAAAGCAGATGTGAATTTTGCCCGAAAGAGTCCTGTTTGGACTTTCTGCATGCGCGCTGCGGTGAGGAGAATTGCATATGCGCTCTGCGGTGAGGAAACTGACGCATGTGCAGTGCGATGTCCAGGAAGGTGCATGTGTACTGCCTGCATGAAGTCGGTGCATGTGGGCTACACGCAGTAACTGATGCATGCGCGGTGCTGTGCCAAGAAGCTGCATACGCTGTTCGGTGCTGAGCTGGTGCATGCGTGTTACCATGCCGCGGCTGGTGTATGCGCCTTGCGTGGCAGAAACCGGTGCGTATATATAGCGCGTTACAGAGCCCGGATTTGCTCAAATGTATTGCTTTCCCGAGACATGCTCGTGTCGGTGCTGCTGCACACCGGTAACGCGATCGAGAATCTCCAGAGCCGCTGCGAATCGCTCCGAGCCCCTCCAAGCAACTGCAAGCCGCTCCGAGTCCTTCCGAGCAGCTCCGAGTCCTTCCGAGTCGTTCCGAGCCCCTCCGAGGAGCTGCAAGCCGATCTGAGTCGCTGCAAGCCCGTCCGAGCCGCTGCGAGCCTCTCGGAGAAGCTCCGAGCCGCTCCGAGCAGCTTTCGCACCACTGCGAGCTGCTCCGAGTCCTTCCGAGTAGCTCCGAGCCGCTGCGAGTCGTTCCGAGCCCCTCCGAGCAGCTCTGAGCCACTTTCGTGCCGCTCCGAGCCGCTTTGGCGCCCCTCCGAGTCCTTCCGAGCAGCTCCGAGCCCCTCCGAGTCGCTCCGAGCAGCGTTGCACTGCTGCTGCGGGGGCTTTTAAACGGCTGGGGGACGGTGCAGGGCTAGGGTTGGAAGGGGACGTTTGCTGGTTCAGCGGGAGGCGAGCGAGTTGGATGCCACAAGGCGCTGAGGGGCAGCTGTGAGCCGAACCGGTCCGTTTCCGTTCCTGGGTGGGCTCGGGCATCAAACGGCGGAAATAGACGAGGGGCATCCTGGATTAGCGGGGGAGAATCTATCGCTGAGCCGGCGGTCCGGAATCGGCTGCTTGCCCGTAGCCGTAGTGGTTTTTCGAGACAGTTGCTGTTTTGAAGGTGACGGGCGTATATTCGCTGTTAGCCGGAGGACTAATCACCATAGAGAGCGGCGGATGAGCTGCGCAGAGCGGTTAGATCGGCACTTCCGCATTTCTGGGCGCATGTGTTTTGCCGCGGGTGGACTCGGCGGCAGGCAGCGGCAGTTCCGCGCGTTGGCCACACGGTGGCAGCAGAGACCACGGCAAGAACTTTCCTGCCGGATCGATGCCGGGATTCGGTGGTAGGCGGCGGCAGTTCGGCGCATTGGGGGCTGCCCGTGGGGCGCGTGGAGTGCTGGAGGAGTTGATGGCCGTGCGCGGTGGGGTGATGGTGCCCTCGGCGCACGGCTGTGACAGCGGGGTGGGGGTCGGTGCCCCCAAAATGGGGTGGTGGGCGAGTTGTATGGGGAGTGCATGTGAAGCAGTGCTGGAGCAGCTTGTGAAGGGTGCAGCCCTGTGAGCACAGGTGGAAGCAAGGCAGCCGTGGGAGCAGATGTGGGACCTGTGGGTCACTTATGCGGCGCTTGTGGGGCACTGATGTGTCACTTTTAGGGCCCAGGCTGCTATCAGTCATTTGTGGGTCCCTGCTGCCCCACTTGTGGGGGTACTTATGGGTCAATTCCTGGTCCCTTTGCCAGTTAACGGTCCCAGGCTGCTGTGTGGGGCACTTCTGGGGCCGTGTGTCTCACTTGTGGGTCCATGCTGAGTCACTTGTGGGGCACTGGGGGGCACTTGTTGGTGACAGGACGCTCGTGGGGCACTTATGGGACACTGATGGGTCAATTATGGGGGACTTATGGGGCACTTGTGGTTCAGTTGTTTGTCCCTTGCGGGGCACTTGTGGGTCCCTGTGGGTCACTTGTGGGTCACAGGCTGCTGTGGGTCATTTGTGGGTCCCTGCAGTGCCACCTGTGGGGCATTTGTGGGTACCCGTGGTGTCATTTGTGGGTCCCTGCGGTGCCACCTGTGGGGCCCTTGTGGCTCCCAGGTCACTGAGGGTCTTTCTGGGTCCCTCTCTGTTTCTGTGGGGTTTGGATTGCTGTTGGAGCCCAAAGGCCACACGCTGCCATACAGGCAGGTGCCAGGGTCACCCCCTGAGGACACCAAACCCTCCAATAACGTCACAGCGGCCTTTAATTGCTGTGTGAGGAGATGACGTGCGTTTCTCCCTGGGGAGCCGTAAGCTGAGCCTGGCAGCTGGGCAGCCAGCACTCGCTCCATTGACGCCGCTCATCTCAGCCCTTGTGCTGCACGTGCAGCTTCTCAGCACCTCGCTGTATCAGCACTGAAATCTGTGCTTCCCTATTTATTACAAATGTCAGCAATTGCCACTGAGGACAGACTGGAAGCAAAGTACGTGGACCGTCCTCGCTCGTCCGTGGATAAACCTCCCCTTGCCACACAGGCAGACCCAATTGGCCGCCGGTCATGACTTTTTTTTTTTTTACTTGATTTTTTTCCTTCCTGCTTTTAGGGGAACTTTGAGATCACAGCCTGAAGCAGTGATGGAGCACCTGGTGAGGGGTGCAGCCCTGCCTGCACAGGTGGAAGCAATGCAGCCGTGGGGCAGATGGGGCTGAGCCTGGCTCCACCCCTCCCTCATATCATCTTAAGGGCTGGCAGCCCCACAGGCAGGGTTTCTTCCTGGAGATGCCTCCTGTGGATTGCTGGGTGAGCTCTGGTTCGTGGGAAGAGGTCAGCAATTCTTTCTTGATGGCTGTTGGGGTTTTGGTCTCTGCCTTTCTGTGGGGATTGTCAGCTGGTTTACGGTAGCTCTGTCAGCTCTGCCTCTGCTTCTGATGCCTTCCACTTGTTCTCTGAGGGCAGTCAAGGGGTTCTCTGCCTTTCTCTGAACTGGTAACGGAGGGACTGATGGACGTTCCTTTCTTTTGCTCTCATCTGTTTTGGGAATGCTTCAGTCAGCCCCAAGGTGACGCTGGTTGGGTGACTGAGCGTTGGGACTCCAGAAATGCCTGGAGCTGATGCACTGTTCTGTAAAGGGATTCTGTGTTCTGCAGAGTTCCTCTGCAACTCTTTCTAAGCTCAACACCTTCTTGTGACGTCTCTGTTCCCTCTTTCGTGATTCTCATTGTGGGATCTCCAACATGGGCCTCCAAACTCACTCCGTCTGCTCCCACGTTGCCGCAGCCCATTTTATGACACGTTCCCTCTGTGTCCTCACGTCCTCCCTGTGTCCTCTGCCCGTGTCCCCTCTGCGTCTCCTGTGCCACGCATTCATTCCACCTGTGCTGAGTGTTGTTTGAGGGCACGCATTTCAATTCCGTTCCGCGTCTCGTTGGATCTCCTTCTGTTTTGCGGCTCAATGGGGTCGAAGGGTTTCTGGGGCTCCTCTGGTTAGTGGTTGCAGCGCTGTGCAATCTGTGGGGCGGACGCTGGAGTGGCAGGAACCCCTTGTTTACACATCGCTTGTATGCGGGTGGGTTTTGGGCCGGCTGTGGGCAGCTCCCTTGGAGATGCAATGGGGGTTGGTCCCCAGGGCTCGCCCTGCTCCCTGCCCTTTGTCCTTGCAGCCCCATGAGCTCCGTGGCTGGCGATAGAGCGAGGTGCGTGGTTGCGGCTGGGAGCTGAGCTGCAGGAAACCCCCGGGCCCCAGCGGCCGTTTGCTTCATCCTCACCCAGCGCCGTCCGCTCTGCGCTGCTCGAGAATACTGAGCACAAGGATTCAGTTCCTGGTTGGCCTGGTTCTCTCCCAGATCTCCCTTAGGAATTGGTCGGCAGCAACAGGTGTCAGGGCTCGGCTCTGCGAGCGCCTTGTGGCCGACCCCCCCAGGCTCTCAGGGCTCTTTCAGTCGTGCTGGCAGATGTGGCTTTGTATTGATAGGAAACAAAGGGCCGTCCTCTGCTGGAGCGCTGTGTCTGGATCACCGCAGATATCTCCATTCCAGCCATCAGGGGATGCTGTCAGTTTCCCAGTCTGGATGCCACCCAACCTCCCAGCCCTCTTCCTTCCATCCCTGCCCCCCTGCAGCCGTGGCACCCAGCAGTGCGATGCAGCAATACCTCTGGTGTGCTGAATGCTGGGGCCGGCACTGAGAGGCTCTGTGGCCGACATGAATCTTCCTGGTTGGACTGCTTGGTGAGTTTCCCTGGTGCTGTTGAGCACGCAGGCTTCCCCGCCTGCCCTGATTGCTCACCAGGCCATCGATGTCCTTTGTGTCATCGTGCCTCACTGCTTCAGGTATCATGCCATAGACTCCTTAGAGTCGGAAGGGACTGTTTGTGATGATCTAGTCTGACTTCCCACAAGGAACAGGGACATCCACAGCTCGATCGGGCTGCCCAGGGCCTGATCCCGCCTCACCTTGGAAGGGACAGGGCATCCACCGCCTCTCTGGGCAGCCTGTTCCACTGCCCAGAATCACAGAATGTCCCGGGTTGGAAGGGACCTCGAGGCCCACGAGTCTCCAGCCCCCCGCCACACGCAGGGCCATCAACCTCCCTGTTTCACAGCAGCCCAGGCTGCCCAGGGCCCCATCCAACCTGGCCTTGAACACCTCCAGGGATGGACGGGGCATCACAGCCTCTCTGGGCAGCTGTTCCAGCACCTCACCGCTCTCACAGCACAGAACTTCCCCCTGACATCCAACCTCAATCTCCCCTCCATCAATTTAAAACCATTTCCCTTTGTCCCTTGCTGTAAAAAGACATTTTCCTTACATCTAACCTAAGTTTTCCCTTCTTCTTTCCTTTAGCTCCCTTTAGGTATCGAAAGGCTGTTACCAGGTCGCCTTGGAGCCTTCACTTCTCTGGGCTGAACAGCCCCAGCTCTCTCAGCCTGTCTTTGGAGGAGAGCTGTTTGATCCCTTGGTTCTGTTTTTTTTTGTGGCCATCCTCTGATGTGATCCAACAGGTCCATGTCTCTTCTGCACTGAGGACTCTACATCCCGACACAATCTCTAGATGTGGGATTGTGCAGAATATGGACTCAGGTAAGGGAAGCCTCTTGACTTCACAAGTCCTACAGAAGCTGATGAGAACTTTAGAAATAGAGCGGGAGTTCCATACTCTGTGGCATCCTCCTTCTTCAGGGAAAGTAGAATGAATCAATCAGATGCTGAAGAAGCACTTGTCAAAATTGGTTTCAGAGACCAAATTACCATGGACAAAGTGTTTGCCTGTAGCCCTTGTCAGAACACGAACCACTCACAGAAAAGGCTTAGGAGTATCACCACACGAAGTGCTGTTTGGGTGGCCGTACTTGGGAATGGTGAGATGCCCGCTCTTGAAACCAAGGGTAAGTTTCTTCAGAACTGTGTACTCGGGTTGTCTGCTGCTCTGTTATTCCTTAAGGGATGTGGACCGTTGGCTCAAACTCCACCTCTGGAATTTCCAGTGCGCTCATCCCGTGTTGGAGACTGGTCCTAATACGCGCCTGGCAGAAATCAAGGCTTCAGCCTGAGTGGGAGGGACTATTTCAGGTACTGCAGTGGATGTCGCCTACCTTGACTTCAGCAATGTTTTGTTACAGTCTCCCACAACATCCTGGTAATGAAGCTGAGAAAGTGTGGGATAGAGGAGTGGATGATGAGGTGGGCTGAGAACAGGTTTACTGGCTGAGCTCAGTGGTGGTGATCGGCGGCGCAGAGTGCGGCTGGAGAGCTGTGAGTGGCGGTGCTCCCGGGGGTTGGTGCTGGGTCTGGTTGTGAAAGGTAGATTGTGTTTTTGCAGTAGAAGCTTTGAGTATTTTCTGTCTGTAGTACTGGCTTTACTGAACTTACAGCCCTCTTGTGAAAGAGCTGTTTGCCTTCCACTAAGAAAGTTGCAGAGCAGAGTGAAGAGATAAAGATTTGGGGTGTTCTGAATCGAGCAAGGCACAAAATAAGGCAAATGTGCAGGGTGGAGAGAGAGAGCCCAGCACAGGGCAGAACAAACGTGCTCACTCTTGGTTGGCACACCAAAAGCCTGTGCTGCCATTCAGGCTGGGGAGCTGGGCAGAAACAAACCAGATGAGGTGGAACAAAAGCAAGTGTTGAGCCTTGCACCTGGGAAGGAATGGCCGCAAGTATCAGTACAGGCTGGGACGTGACTGGCTGGAGAGGAGCTCTGCAGAGAAGGACCTGGGGGTCCTGGTGGACGACAGGTCGGCCATGAGCCAGCAGTGTGCCCTGCTGGCCAAGAAGACCAATGGTATCCTGGGTGCTTTAAAAGGAGCGCGGCCAGCTGAGCAAGGGAGGTGATTTTCCCACTCTGCTCTGCCCTGGTCAGGCCTCACCTGCAGTACTGCATCCAGTTCTGGGCTCCCTTCCTGGTACAGAAATGACAAGGATCTCCTGGAGAGAGTCCAACAGAAGGCCAGGAAGATGATAAAGGGCCTGGAGCATCTCCTCAGTATTGGAAAGGCTGGGGGACCTGGGTCTGTTCAGCCTTGAGGAAAGAAGACTGAGAGCAGATCTGATTAATGCTTACGTATTTGTTAAGTGCGGGAGTCCAAAGGACACGGCCAACCTCTTGTCAGCGATCTGTGGGGGCAGGAGAAGGGGAAATGGTCACAAACTGGAGCACAGGAAGTTCTGCACCAAAATGCAAAGGATCTTCTTCACGGCGAGGATGATGGAGCGCTGGAACAGGCTGCCCAGGGAGGCTGTGGCTTCTCCTTGTCTGGAGATATTCCAGACCCTCCTGGACACCCACCTGCGCGGCCCGCTGTAGGGAGTCCATTTTGCAGGGAGCTTGGACTCAATGATCACTGGGGGTCCCCTGCAACCCCAATTCTGTGGTTCTGTGATTTTACTCCTTGCTTCTTGCAGCGATGCAGTGTTTCAGAAGAGAGAAAAAGCACAGCGGGCATCAACTGGATTTCTGTGGTTGGTAAAGCTGTGCTGAGAACTGGGCTGGCTGCTGCCCAGAAGCTTTCAGTGTTTAATTCTGGCTGTACAATAGCCATTAGTTCAATTTAGAACACATGAAAAGAAAGCTGATAGGGATCTGGTTACAGGTGGTTGAAATGACAAGAGGGAGATGGTGCAGGTGTAGGAACTAGGAGGTTGCCTTCCAAGTGCCTTCCTGGTTCTCCGTGCTGCTTGGTGTTTATTTTCCCATTGGTGCTGTGTTCAAGTGCAAGCACTGTAGGGTGTAGAGAACACTGTAGAATGCCTGGTGCTGCCCCGACCAGTCATAGATACTGGAAGGAAAAGTTGTGATGAACTACCGATGGAAAACATGGACAGTTTTGAGGCTTCTTCTTGGCAGAAGTTGGTGAGACAGTCCTCTGATAATCAGACAACAGGTAAACTGGTTTACAAATGAGTCTTACTTTAAAGAGGGCCTTGTGTAGTCTGGTTGTTTACAGTAATGCAGGACTAGTTGGGTAAATAACTGATTGGAAAACCTATAAGGGAATGAGGTTGTTTTTTTTAGGTTAGGTTCTTACTATTGAATGCAGTACAAGTGCTTGCATGACTGGGAGCCCAACTGTCTGCCGCCGTTGTTGTCATGCTGCCTCTTTGATGTGCTGCCTCTTCAAACTGCTGGGGCTGGCAGCAGCGAGCAGAACTAATGCAGCAATTAGAATGGGTGATGCAGAGAAGACTGTGGCAGAAATGATGAAGCCAGAGGCCCAGCTAGCAGAGGTTTATGCATTTGCTGCCAATCTTTATCCCAAGGAGCTGGCCGCCTTGCAGCAACAAAGCCATGATGTCAGTAATGCCTTCTGATGTCTGTGAATTGATATGGATCACCAAATCTGCCTTGTCTGTTCCACTAAATGTGCCTGTCTTGAGTGTTGGTAGAACTGCCTTGATGCTTAGTCTGTTCTGACGGGATGCTTCATCTTGAAGTCTTGAGCTACTCGGCACTGTGAGATTCTGTTTGAATCTCTTGGTGCTCTAGCAGTAGTTTTGCAGAGCAAGTGTAATTGATCTGTATTCCCCTTTGTATGCAGGGTAACCTCAGCCATGCAGAATTATCTGTTGCTGTAGAGATGCTCTCTTCTGTGGCTGTGATGATCAGGGCTTTGGGTTCAGGGGATGTGAGTGCTGTATGGAGACAACTGAGCAATGCTGTCCCAGGGCTGACAAACACTGAGGATGAGAACTGTCAGAGGTGAGTGTTTTGAAGGTTCCTGTCTGTCTTTGATATTGCTTACATTCCCAAGAGGTTCGGTTTTCTTTTCTTCCCCTTAAACTTCAGGTTCTTTCACTGCTTACTCCAATATTAATTTATTCTCTCTCGGTTCTTGCATCTCGTCTTTGCCTTCCCCGTTTCTTACTAATCTGCTCTGAGTGCCGTCTCTCAGACCTTTATCAAGGTTTCACAACAAAGCTATGTTGTGGCCCTTCGAGGTTCTCAATTGCACCAGGCCAGCTCCTGCCCTGTGTTTTTTGTCTGAAAGTGTCATGTGGTGTTTCAGTGCTTTTCTTGATTGCTTTGCACTGGAGCTGACCACCTTGCTCACGGTCTTTTGTCTTTTTCCTATTCCTTCTTTCTTTCGTGTATGTCAGTTTTAACCCTTGTGTTACTTCTTCCATTTTGTGTTTAGTTCTCATTGCTGTCTTGTGTGTTCCCTGGCCAGTTTTTCATGACGTGATACTTGCTGGTTTTGATTTTTGTTCTTTGACAGATGTGTGGATGATGTGATGAAGCTGAAAGCTCAGATGCGTGCAGAAGAAAATGAGTTTATCACGTGGAATGATATCCAGTCCCGTGTGGATGGTGTGCACTTAGCTGTGCATGAAGAACATGAAAGTAAGTTTTGCTTGATTAGTGCTAGACTGATCCTAGATCATAAGGTGTGCTAAAAGTAGGTGCATGCCAATGAACAATCTTGTTGCTGGATTCATATAGCCTGAGATAGTTGCCTTTTGCCACTGCTTCTTGTGGAGCTGAGTTGCCCTGAAAAGGCTATCACCTAGAGAGGCTTAAACGTGATGTCAGAGCCTGGAATCTTGACTGCCTTGCTTCCTGGCTCTCCAAATAGACACGGGCTTCCTGTGTGGCTTCAGTTCCTCTGATCACGTGAGCCAAACAAGTGCACGCCATGTGCATGCGTGCACCAAAGCACTAGTTTTGCAGCCTTGTATTTGTGAGGCATCACAGCAGAAGCCTGGAAGTTCATGTAGTCCAGCTCCTCGTTTCTTGTAACACTCCCTGTAACCCCTGAAACAATAGAGACAACAGAGAACCCAAACCATCAACCATAAATTGCAGAGAATTTTATAATGACATCAGTTGACGTCGTATGGCATAGTTTTGGTAGGAACCTTTTGAATTCTTTCACCTGTTAGTGTTTCATAGAATCATAGAATGGCCTGGGTTGAACAGGACCGTAGTGATCGTCTAGTTTCAGCCCCCCTGCTGTGTGCAGGTCGCCAGCCACCGGACCAAGCTGCCCAGAGCCACATCCAGCGTGGCCTCGAGTGCCTCCAGGGATGGGGCATCCACAGCCTCCTTGGGCAACCTGTTCCAGTGCAAATGTGTTCAGTTTCTTGTGTGCCCCTGTGCATGGATACTTCTTATGTAGTGTCTGAGGAAGTCCTGAAGCCATAGCGACATGTACCCTTCTACTGTCCTGAAACTTGGTTTCAAAGTCAAGAATGCTTTCTAATGAGGAGCTGTAACATACTGTTGTTTCACGGAGTAGTCTTTTTCTGCCCCTGTTGGCTAATTAATCAAGGATAATGACTGCTTGTCCTCTGTGCCCTTTCCTGAGTCAAAAGTTGCTATGTGTGTTTTCCTTTGTTCTTCATGAGATGGAGTAGTGTCAACCGTAGTGTGTGTGTTTTTGTAAGAAAGGTCTTTCTTTTCCTACTTTCCCCCAGCGCTCATGGGGAGAGCAGCATGCCTAAAGGTGTGCATACTGTGTATGTGCACACTGTAGGAGGAAGCAAGCAGTCTGTACCGTAGTCTGCCCAGGTGACGGGGAGTTGTCAGATGAAGGACAGAAAAAAGGAAGGCATTCTCTGGGCTAAGATAATACTGAGAGGGAAATGCAAGTGGTGCTGAGACAAAACATGCTGTTACGGCCTAGACATCACTGTGCAAAGATACTCCGAACACACCTGGGTGCTTTCCTGTGCAACCTACGTTAGTATGTGTATATGTGAATATGTAAAATGTACACAGAGCTGATTTTTGGTAGACATCATTTAGAGGTGATGACAATTGATGTGGAAGAATAAGGACAATTCAGAATGACATGAATACGTTTCACCGCGTTCTTGAAAGCCACGGTTAGAAAACAATTCAATGGCCCCGCTTCACAGAAAAAGTGAAATGGTGTGCGTTTAAAAAACAGAGTGCAGGACAGAAAGAATTCTGATGGTAGTCTTGGTCCACTACCAGCTGTAACTTTGAATAATGTGTGAAAGGAAGGCTTTCTGTAGATCTTCATACTGTTCTTGAAGTATGCCTCTGTGCACTGGTGTAGGTAACAAGTTTTGTGGAATCACGGGACATCCCAAGTTGGGAGGGACTCACGAGGATCATGGAGTCCAAGTCCTGGCTCGGCTCTGGACCGCCTAAAAATCAGACCGTCTGTCTGAGAGCATTGTCCCAATGCTTCTTGAGCTCTGGCAAGCTCATTGCTGTGACCGCTGCCCTGGGGGAGGCAGTTCCAGTGCGGGACCACTGGAAACAGAAATCCAACTCAGATCTCCCCTGTCACATCTCCAGGCTGTTCCCTTGGCTTCTGTTGTTGTTGGCCAGGGAGCGATCAGTGCCTGCCCCTCTGCTCCCCCTGGTGGGGAAGCTGTAGAGCACCACGAAGTTTCCGCTCAGTCTCTTCTCTGGACTGAGGACTTCAGCTGCTCTTCGTATGTGTTCCCCTCTGGACCCTACGCCATCTTTGTAGCCATCCTTTGGACACTTTCTAATAGTTTTATGTCCTTTTCCTACTGGAGTGACCCAAACTGTACACCGTACTCAGGATGAGGCCACAACAGTGCAGAGTAGGGTGGGACAGTCCCCTTCTCTTGACCTGCTAGTGGTGCTGTGCTTGATGCACTCCAGAATACCGTTGGCCCTCCTGGCTACGTGGGAGCACTGTTGACTCGTATTCAACTTACTGTCAACCAAGACCCTCCAATCTCTTTCATCGTGGCTGCTCTCCAGCATCTCCCCCCTTAGTCTGTGTGTATAGCCAGGGTTGCCCTTTCCCAGGTGCAGAATCTGTCACTTGCTCGTACTCAATTTCTTGCAGTTGGTGATTGCTCAGCTCTCTAATTTCTCAGGATCTCTATGCAAGGCCTCTTCACCCTCCACAGATTCAGCAGTTGCTCCCAGTTTAGTGTTGTCAGTCAGCTTGCTCGTAACACCTTCTAGTCCTACATCCAAGTCTTTATGAAAGCATTTAAGAAAGCTGGCCCTAAAATAGAGCCCTGGGGAACCCCCGGAGTGACTGACTGCCAGACCAATGTGACCTCGTTTACTGTGGCTTTTTGGGCCTGACCCTTCAGCCACTCATTCACCCACTGCATTGTATTGTTGTCTAGTCGTATGTTGGATGTTTTGTCCAGGATTCTGTGAGAAACGGTGCTGAAAAGTTGACTGAAATCCAAAAAGCCCTCAACGGGCTTTTCTAGGTGAAATACAGAGGTGACCTTGTCATTAAAGAAAGCATAGTTAGTTAAATGGTCCTTGACATGGTGCTTTTTTACAGCAGTCGTACGGTCTTCTTAGCAATCCTGGTTCCTGTGGTGTCCCTAGCGTGTATTGTTCCTTAATCTTTGCTCTGTCCAAATGCAGTACCTGCTATAAAACGTTCCACTCTGTGATTCTCCTACTGCGTGCAGAAGAAAAAGCTGCAGTCTTTGGGTGTTTTAACCCAAGTTGTATCCACTCTGAGCTCCTCGCTTTCTTCTGGAAGATCTTTGTTGTAAACTCTCCAACTGTGATTTGAACTGTTCTTCTTTCAGCAAGCAACAATTGAATATTCAATATACGTTGCATCACACGATCTCTGGGTGTCCATTCCAAGCCAAATGACTTTGTGATTTGCTGTAGGTTTGGCATGTGTGACTCAGGCTTTGTTCACATTTAGCTAACGGTAAGCTATCTATTTATGTCTGTTTTCAGTTAGTTGAGCTGTAGTCCTCGCTGTCCCTGGCAGCACCCACTGTTATCTGTTGTAATACAGCTCCTAGTACATGCATCCAATAAATGCTGGTATTTCAGAAGTGAAGGCAGTGTATTTTTGAATGGCGTTCTGTGCAAAGCTATAGCTTGGTGTGAAGAGCTTGATTCTGAAGGATTCTTGCAAGCTTGTAACTTACTAGCCCTGGCCATTGAGGTTTTGATAATTCCCTTCTAGTGGATTTGAGCTACGTGTTGAAGAACTCATTCCTGTGTCCATTCATGTGGTCTCCCCGAGGGATCTTTTTTCTCCTTTTTCCTTTATTTATTACTGTGTCCAAAAATGTGTGGCTTCTTGAAGGTGGAGAAGTGGTCTTGCTTTCTTTGCTAGTAGAAAATGATTGCTATTAAGATGTTGCTATTCTCAGCGGGTATTTGGTTTAGCACTAACAGCACTTTTCTTCCAAAGCACAGTTTCGTGATGATGGTAAAGGATTGGATAAGGATTGGATCTTGTATTTCTTCTTCTATCCCTTTCTCTGTAGGAGTTTTGGCTGTTGGGCTTATCAGCGAGGCGCTGGATGAAGGAGACACCAGAAAAACTCTGCAAGCTTACAGATTCCTGCAGCAAACCTGGAGGGTGTAACCCCACAGGTAGGTCAGCATTATCAGGGCACACTGCTTCGGGCTAAGAGAGAGAAAGCACAGGTGGGTGTAGTTAAAAGTACCTCTCAAGAAGCCTTTGCATCTGTGTACTGAGGGCATTCCTGACGTTGGGAGAAAAGCTGGGAAACAGATCTGGAAATGAAAGGGTGAACGCTGCATGCTATCAGCTGATGTTACCTGGCCAGTTTGGATCTGTCTGTATGAAGGAAAGAGAGATGCAGGCATAACACGTGAATCTTGGTGAACTACAGAGATGGGCTTCAAGATATGAACTGCTGGAGATGGATTGCTCTAATCGTACGTCCAGAGTTTTTAGCATAGAGACTGAAATGATACTGTGTTCAACATTGGTGTTTTTTTGTACGTTTGTTTGCTTTGTTTTTTTTGACTAAGTGTAAACCTTCACGATGGCAGTGCCCGAAAACTGCACTGGTGATGAAGATCACTGAGCAGCTTCCTCAGTGGCCCTGAAAGGGTTCATGTTCCTCAGGAACCCATTTTGTGCTGAAGCATTTCCTCCTACTGAGTGAGAATGAAATAAGGAGTTGTTCTTGGTGTGCACGTAAGCTTCTGCCAGGCTGGATTGGTGACTTCAGTTGATGTGAAATTACCTCATTGAGGCATATGCTCAATGTAGGGCTCCTCCCTGCAACGTGGCAGCAATTTCAGAGATGGTGAGATCGTGGTACAGACCAGCACTGTGGGTAGAACTGTTGTGTCCTGAGTCAACGTGCTTACTAGCTGGTGACTTGTGTAGCTTGGGACTGAGAGGGATTGCAGTTCAGCACAAGGCAGGGGATCTGGCGTATGATGCGATTTCTCACGTGATGAGCAGTGAGAGAAGTGTTAACCCTGCAGTGTGTGACAGCGCGTGTCCCTGCTGGGGGACTGTGACAGTAAATGCACGGGAAAGATCAGACGGCTTTGACAGTCCTGGGATTGATGACTGTGCTGGTAGAGATGGCAGTGCAAGAGTTTGTTCTTCTAAGTCTGCCACCCTTCCCAACAGGAATTTCTACATTGCTGAAGCAGTCATGGGACTCCTTGGACATTCAGATAAAACTTGTTAAAGGGATGTAGGTTTCAATCCAAAGCAGTGGTAATGTGGAGGGTATGTAAGGAAATGTCAATTGTCAGTCCTGCCACAGAACTCTTCATGCTGGAATATAGTGGCTCTTTGTGCAGGGTGATTATTAATCCGTGTCAGAAGTCAATGTTTCCTGTGTCCTGTTTGCACATCAGGGATTATTGGAGGGATGGCAATTGCTTCTTCAGATCTCCTTCCATAGTAACCCCCAGGAAGCAACAGTGGGGGTGGAGGAGCTGTGCTTGGCAGCTGCTGGACTATTGTTCATTATGTGTATTTTGGGGTGTTCTACACACTTGTCTCTTGGACAATTTCTGCGTGTAACATTATTTAATGAGTTTCTTCAGCCAAAACATAAGATACGGTGTGGTCAGTACTCCACAGCAAATGGTCTGTTAAAAGAGAGACTTGAGAGATGCTTTTACTGTTGTACATTTGTATTTACCCGGAGTACATGCAGTGCTTTTTGATTTGCTGGTACAGAAATCTGCAAAGCTTTGTGGACGGGACAAGAGCAGCCTGCTGTTGTGTTAGTTCCCCCTCAGTTTTTGGTTGCTGCTCCTGTATGTGCATTTCCACTTCATGAAGTTTCCCTGAACAACTCCTTGCAGCCTGGTACTGGGAAAGGACTCCTGTTAGTCTCTGTTTGTGTCCACCTCGGCGGAACAAAGCTTTTCAGGAAAAGTGCTAGGAGTGCTGGTAGGCAGACAGCCAGGTGGCTGTGAGTGGGCAGTGTGCTCGTGCTGCCTGGAAGGCTTCAGCAGAGAGGTGATCCTTGCACTTGGCACTGGTGAGGCTGCTCGTGTACTGTGTCCAGTTCTGCCCTGCCCCCCCCCCCGGACAGGAGACATGAGTGTACTGGAGATAGGCCAGCGTAGGGCCACTGAGGTGCCTGAGGGACTGGAGCACCTCTCCAGAGAGGAAAGCTGAGGGTGAGGAGACTCTTTAGTCTAGAGATGAGAGGGCTTGGAGGGAATCTCTTCAGTGAATGCGAAAGCTGGAAGTGAGGATGCAGTTGAGGACGAGAGGCATTGAGTACAAACTGGAGTTCGTGGTTCCATCTAAACGTCAGGCAGCACTTTGCAGTGGAGGTAAGTGAGCAGTAGCAGAGGTCGACCAGAGAGGGACTGGAGTCTTTTCTTTGCAGTTGTTCAGAAGCCATCTGGATCTGGTCTGTCCTGGATAATGTGCTCTCGGTGTCCCTGCTGGAGCAAGGGGTTTGTACCAGCTGAGCTCAGAGGTCCCTTTCCATCTTAAATTGTTCCGTGATTTTCTTTTTTGGGCTCCTTGGAAAGGCACGTCCTATTGGCAAATACAGCTTTAGGACTGAGCAGTGCAGATTGCTTGGCGTTGGGATGCCTTGATGTCTGTTGGAGTGATACCACTGCTGGAACTCTTGGTGGGAGTTCCTTGTCCTGAGAAGAGTTTTGGCCTGGTAATGCTGTAGTTGCTTCTGCTGGTAACAAATGTCCATTATGGCCTTGTGTTGAAATTGATTAGAAAGATACTGCAGTGCTTCCTGTATCCCTTGAAGCTGCAATTGCTCAGAGGTGGTGGTTTTGTTTTGCACAACCAGTGACACTCTTTTCCTCATGCTGCGAATGCTTTCCTCATCATATTCTCTTCAGGACACTCAGGATGAAACAGCTGTGCTTTGGCTCGATGAAACTCAGGATGGGATTCAGAAGGCTAACAGGGACACTGAAGAGTCACAGAGATGTAAGCATTGTGGCAAATACCGTGGTTCAATGCCATTGTCAACCAAATATTTGTCACCAAATGAAAGAATGCGAGCAAGAAATGTACACATGCAAAGGAAATTAAAATACAAGTGTTTGCTTCAGGTAGGTGTAGAAGTTGTTACTTTCAGCAATGAATGTCACAGCCTTTAAACTTCAATTCTTTCAATCTTTTTGGAAGGATATGTCGTTGTTTCAGTTGTGTTGTGACTGGGTTACATCCTAGGCAGAGATACCTATTGAATCTCTGTCCAAGTGTTTGACATTAGCAGATCATTGTGTCTGTCTGTGGTTGGGTAGTCAGCCCAATAGAGGATGTTCATGTGCACAGTTGTGGTGCATCTTAGCTTTCATTTGTGTTGTACTGTTGCCTGAATTCTATGAAGTATTTCTCAAAGTACTTTTTATTTTTTTTGCACTAAGTGCAGATAACAACACAAATCAGTGCAGTTGGCAGGTGGACTGTGCCAAAGAACATTTGGTCAAAAGCAGGATTAAAGTCTGTTTCTTTGAGCCTGAATAAGATCTTCAGATACCCTTCTACCTCTGTGTGTGTGAACAGACATTTGCTCAGTGCTGAAAATTTGCTCAGTATCTCGTGTTTACTGCTTCGGTGAGATACCTGTGGTTGATTTTGTACTGTGTTTGCAACAGAGTTCTGGAGTAGCCCTGGGTTAGCTCTTTCCTCATCTTGTTCTTGTTGATAACCTGTTCTGTGTTCAGGTTGCTATTCTTGCTAGGAACGGTGCAGTCACTGGAAAGGTGCTTTTTGAGTCAGTTGTCTGCTGTAGCAGGGCTCTGCAAGAAGAAGCTGCCTGGACTACAGCTGTTGTCAGAGTACAGCTGAGTGAATGGAGAAAAGGTTGTAGAGAAATACTGTCGATAAATCAGCACCGTAGTAGGACTAAGAGCACAAAGAAAAGTGCTGTCAGACACTGTGCCATACACAGATGCACACTGTACTGAAAAGATTGTTGTACACCAAGTTGTCTTTTTTTAATCAGTATTTTTGTGCATAAATACAGGAAGGTATTTGTGTACACTGGCACAGTGCCTTGCTCTCTTAAGTCTGTTGTGAGCCACTGAGCTCCTGACTGCGCAGGTAACCTGCCTCCTCCTGTTGTTGAAGTTTCCTTAGGCATTCTGGCCGTGAATGCAGCAGTCGGTCACGGAGATACCAGCCCTACCCTGAGTGCCTTGTGCTCACCAGATGTGGGGCTGTACGGAGTCGCTGCAGAGTGTGCAGAGACATACCAGCGAGAGTTGGCAGAAGTCGAAAGGAGAAAAGTGGCCACAGGTGAACCCCAAATAGCTACCTGCTAGTGCAGTAAATTCAAGATGATTGCCTGTAGAATGGAAAGCAGAGGGGGAGCAATGTGAGGAGCAGTCTTGCGTTCTGGGTATCTTGTTAGAATCTCATGTTATAGGAAATTGAGGCTGCCTTGTAAACTGAAGTCTTTGTTAACGGAAAGAAAAAAAAGGTAGGAAGGAAATGAAAAAGGTAGCAGTGAAATATTCCCCACTTGTAGAATATATTGTGCTTAGGTAGTTCTTGCGGTGGTTCATTGGAATCTGAGGCGTTCCTTCTATTGCTTGGAGGAAGGGCCCTCTCCATGCATTTCCTTCTTGTAGTATTTGTATGTGAGGAAGATAGACACGTGTTTGCTTTCAACATAGCAGCATTTCTGCTTTCAGGAGGCAGTGGCAGTGAACAGGTGAAACACTGGGTGAGAGGAGGCTGTCATCATTATCATAACGTGAGGACCAGAGAGGGAGGATGGGATGAGCTGACGGAATTTGTGCAGAATGACACACAGCTGTCACGGGAGGAGATGCAGGTAAAGTACGTGCTCTTTTCCTCTGAAGTTGAAGGTGCCCCTATTTCAGGCCTTATTGCAACTTTCAGAAGTAATGTTTCACCACAGTAGTGATGTTAGCAAGCTTTGTATCTTATCTCCCTGTTCACTGTCTACTTTGCACGTCAGCACCTCTTTGTCCTATTGTGGAGAATGTGCACACCTTGATCACCAGAACAAGACGGTGGTGTTGCTGCTCACCGAAAAGCAACTTGTAAGTTTCTCTTGAGCAGAATACAGAAGCCGCTGTGTAACATGTCATTTTTGCATCTCCCTTTTCTCTTCCTGGCTCTTCTTCCTACCATAACGCTAATCTAGAGCACTGTATCTGGAGTCACGGCAGCATACGAGCGAGAGCAGTTGTGGCTGGCCAAAGAGAACCTGATGGTGAAGCTTCAGGCTTGTGGTCGAGGCTGTCTTGTCTGTCAGGAATTCAACTCCAGAATGAGGTTTTTGAAGAAGCAAGTTCCAGCCATCGCTTGCATGCAGGTATGAAATCCCCTAATTCTGTTAGAAGCTTGTACTTGTCAGTTGCTCTCCACACGCACGCTTACTGACTGGTTTTGTTCAACTCAAGCAGTTGCCACGCACAATTATCTTCATTATCTTCTCCCTGGGAATCACTATGTATAAATTACTTCTCTCCCTCTTCCCATTAGTCCGTGGGTTTGGAGAATTGAAGATGGCATTGAGAATTGTGCAATGGATGGTGCATTTGGTTGTTTAGTTTTAGTCATTTGTTCTCTAGCTGTGTTTTGCCCTTGGTGGGGGGTGCTGCTAAGTCCCTCACAATGACAGCTGGTGGTGGAAGAAATAGTTAAGGCTGCACTGCATATCTCTTACGGCATGTCTTGTAAGATGAGCATGTCTGTGTTACATCTTATTCAGCCAAAGGGAAGTGGAAACTGAGCAGCAGAAAGAAGCATCAAATAGTAAATTAGTGCTCTTCACTTTGAAAAGTCGCCTTTTTTCTTGTGTGTGTTTTCAGTCCCAGTGGCGTGGCTATAAACAGAGGAAGGCATATCAAATCCGTTTGGATTACTGACGAGCACACAAGGACCAAGAAGTGAAGGTAGCAAATGCTATGTTTGTTTTTGTTTGTTTGTTTGTTTTTTGTTCACATTTTTGGTAGCAATATTTGTGGAGAGGAATTTTATCTGACCTGCTTTGGGATTCTTTCCTGTAGATTCAGTCACTGCCCAGGATGTATCAAGGCAGAAGGCGTTACAGAGATCACCTGCAATATTTCAGAGACCACATAAGAGATTGTGTAATGAATTCAGTGTCTGACACTTTTCTTTTTTTTACTCTGCCCTTAACAAGTGTAAGTGGCTGTTTTTTTTTTTTCCCATTCTAGATAAATGACGTTAGAAAAGCTCAAGCTTTTATCCGAGAAAACAAAGCAGGAGAAGACTACAAAACCCTCAGTAAGTGTGGCCAAAAGAATAAAGCTAATATGCTTTGAATCTCTATTTGCAGAAAAATACTGTTAGTGAGATCTGCAACACAAAGAGAGCTATGAAAAAAGCTTGAAAAAGGACCTCAATCTCAATGCTGAAAACCCACCTACGGCTGTGGTTGGGAAATTGGTTCACTTGCTCGATCGGACCCAGATTTTCAGGAGGAGCTGGAGCTAATGAAACTGTGTGAGGAAGCTGTGACCTTGGTCCGATCTAATCAACAGCTTGAAAATGACCTCAATCTCATGGACCTCAAGATTGGACTGCTAGTGAAGAACAGAATGACACTGCAGGTAGGAAATGCAGTGCTGGGAGACTAGGAGAGTGAATTGAGGCCAATGGCAGTTAGCATGAGGACCTTCTGAGCCTGGATCTCACTTACTCAGATTCAGTGGGAAATATTTCCCCCAGAGTTACAGGTTTTCCTCCCAGTAAGTTCCTAACTGTTCCACTTATTACTATGTATCCCTAGAAAGAGAACTGCAGCAGAAACATCAAGGCTTCAAGTGTTTTAAAAACAAAGCACCAGAAAAAAACCCACTCGGGACCAAGGGAAAGCAATAGATGGTATGCTTGAAGGCTCTGAGAAGTGTTTGTCTCTTCACTTGTGGTTACGTGAGTCATGGACTTGCACACCTCAATTTCTTCTCACGTTTTGTGTGCTGTATCAGAAGGGGGAGGTGATTTTGGAGCAGGAAATGTGCTCAGGCTGCTTGGTGTTGGTTGGCTGATGGAAGCCCCCTCTGTCACTTTGCTGACGATTGATTGCACACAAGAACAACGTTGCTGATACAGCGGTGCCTTTTTTTAACTCAAGCTGAAGTTACAGTCACCTTTTCCTTTGGTCCTGAATAGCGTGGTGCTAGGCTTGACCTTGTGTAAAATCTGAACCATGGCAGCAGTAAAGTTCAGTTCCAAAGGAGGCTCCAGCTCTTGGGCTGATGCTGGCAGCAAAAAGTATCATCGTTATCAGAGCGGTGGAGGCAGGGAGTCAGCAAAATGGAAACAGGGCTTGGGGCTTCAAGCACAGTTGAGAAAGAAAGGCATTTTCAAGCATCTTCAGAACGCTACCAGCTGTGACAGTAGTCCCTGCTCAAAGCAATTAGTCCTTGTAGGTTCTCAACCAATTCTGGAACGTGGGGACAAGACAGAAATCGCTGCTACAACAGATAATGTTTCACTTCATGATCTCCTGATGTACCTTGACTGCCTTATCCACACATAAGGAAGTGCTATCGTGCAGCTTTTTCCCATATTGCGTGTTATTTAAATGTGGAATCTGTCCCTCTGTGTTCTTTGCAGGATGTTGTTTCTCATAGCAAAAATCTTAGCAAGGAGAACAAGGAACAGCTCTGTGACGTGATGACGCTGAACGAGCAAAAGGGAGGTTTGAAAGCTTTGAGCAAAGAGGAGAGGGAAAAGCTGGAAGCCTATCAGCATCTTTTCTACTTGAGGTATGCAGCTTTTCATTCACTGCTCTTGTCGTAGATGCTTACGTGTATTGGAACAGTCTGTGCTTATGCTCTGCAGTGTTGAGGCGCTGTCTGTCTTTGTGGTGTTGGCTTTTGTGGACACGTGCTGTATGGGAACTGCTGAGTCATGGCCTGAACCTCTGATTGATCACCTGAGGCGAGCAGTGAGTCAGGCAGAGGAGCACAGGTGAAGGCAGTGCAGCTGTGCTGCTGGAAGGGGTGCAGCCAGGCTACAGCCCTCCTAGACCTGTTTAAGAGCTGGCTACCAGTGGGGAAGGATCTCGTCTGGAGATCTGCTCTGCTGGAGTTTTGTAAGTGAGCCCAGGATAGGGGTAAGCCTTCTATTTATTCTCCTTTTGTTAGCTTAGTCTGCTTTGTCAAACTCTCTTGTTTATTTCATAATGACAACATCTTAATAGTCATTGATTATACACGTGCACTAAGTACTTTTTCTTCTTGTTTTAGACTACTCCAACGTACTTGGCCAAGCTGCTTTTGCAGATGCCTCAAAACAAACCCACAGAGTTCATGGATTCAGCCATCTTCACGCTGCATAACTACGCATCCAGTCAGAGAGAGGAATCTCTGCTGTTGCGGCTGTTGCAAACAGCATTGCAGGAAGAGATCAAGTACGTTGTAGCATAGGACACAGCCTTGCTGTTGCCTGAGTTTGGGCCGCTGCTAAAATTGCAGCTGTTGTTGTGTGATGTCCCGTGCTCATTAGCTGATAATGCTGAACTGTCCCTGCCTTCTGCTCATGCTGTTTCACGTCAGTCCTTTCTGTAACCTGGAAGGAGGAGGAATTACCTTTGTTCTTTAGGATTAAAGCCATTTTTCTTTAGCCAATGCTTTCTTGCTCAGGGAGGCACTATTTTTGATCTGCTGCAGCGCTTTCCTAAGATTCATTCCCATCTAAGTTCTCTGCTGTCTAGTAAGAAGGACTTGGAGCAGACTGCGAGCTTGGGCTTTACAGGCCAGAGTGAAGCTGACGCGAAGGTCACTGTTTTCCAAAACTGATGAGGAGGCTGAAAATCAGATGCTGTCTGGTTTGGGTTTTTTACTGGCTGTCAGGCTTAAGGATTCTGGCTGTCTGTCGGCATAATGGAGTTGATTGGCACTTAGGAGTTTGGTGTTTATGACTTCTGGCTGATACGGAGCTTCACAACTTGCTAGGAATAGCAAATACATATAATGTTGGAGGCAGTCATGCCTTTTTTGATGCTTTTAAGTATGAGGATGGTATGTGCCCTCCAACAGGTAACGCCTAAAAGGTTTGTTTAATTATTATTATCTTTTCTTGGAGTAGTAGTTCAGGAAAGTGCATGTCTATGCTTTATTCTCTGCTGCTGGATTTCCCATAGCGGCATGCTGTGAATGGCTTTTGTTGCTGATTGCTTACTTGTTGAAATACTGAAAGAAAATAGTTGTGCCTGTGTAGAACTCCCTTTGTTTCCTCTGTATTTTTGAGATGCGCTCTTTCAACCGTGGTGCCCGTGGTCAGAACGCACTGAGGCAGATCTTGGCCCCAGTTGTGAAGGAAATAATTGAGGACGAATCGCTCAACGTCAGAACGGATCCAGTGGATATTTACAAGTGCTGGGTTAACCAGATGGGATCTCAGAATGGTGAGGCCGGGTATGGAAGCTGTTGCTACCGGTTTTTTCTGAAAGTTGCTCAGCTGCTTTGCATTGCTCTATTAATCGTTCCAAACCATCCCTGGATTCATTGCATGCATCTGTCCAATGGATACCGGCTTTTTTCCATCAGCTCGAGATGGCTTTCTTCTGAAAGGTATAAAGATCATCTTGTGACAGGGTTATTGAGCCTATTAGAAGTGAATCTCATGAAGAGATAGGCCAAGAAAAGCCCCAAAGCATTTCTTCTGTGTTAACTCATAGGTACAGATACCATAGCTCTTACTCTACCAAGCCAATCTCTGCCCACAACTCGGGCAGGCTGCCCAAGGAGGCTGTGGATGCCCCATCCCTGGAGGCATTCAAGGCCTGGCTGGATGTGGCTCTGGGCAGCCTGGGCTGGCGGTTGGTGAACCTGCACGCAGCGGGGGGTTGGAACGAGATGAGCATTGTGGTCCTTGTCAACACAGGCCGTGTTCATAGAATCACAGCATGCAGCTGTTCCTGTCTGCCCATGAGAAGGTTTCATCCACCTGGTCATCCTGGTTGGTTGGCCTGTAGTTCCCCCGCTACGTCATCTGTCCCTGTCCTCCCTTTAATCTGTGTCTATAAAGTCTTGATGGGCTCCCATCCGTCCCCAGTCAGAGTTCTGTGTTTCTTCCAGTGCTTGATGTTCACCAGATTTTGAGGGTTCTGTTGTTGGTTGTATTTGTTTTGTTTTTAAGGCACTTCAAGGGAAGTGGTGGAAAAGCAATGCTATGAAGTAAAAGACAACTGTCCCAGCGCAGCACGCTGCGTGAGTTACTATCTTAACACTGCAATGTGCAGCTTGTGTTTTCACTGATTTATTTGCGACCTGAGGTACTACTGCGTATCGCAGGTGACCTTCTTGACTCTAGAGAGCGTGTCTGCATGTGGTACAGAAAGATACAGTTCAGAGTTAGCTGGGCCTGTTCTCACAGCGACTGCTGCAGGGACAGCAGAGGACGTGAGAAGTCCTTTGCTCTTTCAGTGCTAGCATTCTAACGAAAGTGAACGTGCAGCTCTTTGCAGCCAGGTGAGCGTGGATCTGTTTGTATGTCAAGCCAAAAATTCTGCCTGGCACTGACAAAAGTATATTAGGCTGAGGAGTGCTCACCTTCACATCTGACTTTTCCAAATAGCAAGTTGCCGTACGATGTTGCACCTGAACAAGCTCTTAATCACGGTGAGGTGAGGACGCACCTGGATGCCTCAATCCGAGATGTGAAGGCAGTGACAGACAAGTTCCTGTCTGCCATCGTTGTTCAGCTGACCAAATCCCGTAAGTCTGGTGTGTCACCGCGTTATCCTGCAGCAGTTAATAGTGGGTTCATCCGTGAGGAATTCTCACTTGCCTTTTATTTCCTTCGAAGTTACGGGATGCGTTTCATCGCCAAGGTACTGAAAGACTCCCGGCATGACAAGTTTCCTGATGCTGGCGAGGATGAGCTTCTGAAGGTAAGGAGCTGAGCAGCTCTGTGAATAAAGACGCTTTTTTCAGGTTGCTTGTGAGGTTCCTGAATTGCAGTATAAGTTCAGTATTGATGAGTATTTTGGCTTCCTTCCTTGTCTGTCCCTTCTGCAGAGCTTATAGCCATCAATCTCAACGCGCCAGTCATGGGAGCAGTCCCACCATGTTTCAGTAACAGCAGCTAGATCGTAGTTAGCCTGGTGCACAATGGCTTCCAGTTCCTCCTGCTTGTTGCTCATGCTGCGTGCATTGGTATAGGTGCACTTGAGCCGAGTCATTTGCCTGACTCCCAGCTCTAAAATCGTTCCGCCAGGCTCTTCTCTTGTGAGGCCTGTACTGTCCCCTTCCCCCGTCATAATTAGTTGATTGCACAGGAAGAAAAGCTTGATGTCTGTGCCAAGGGAGACGTACACCGCACTTGCGCTGCCTGGACGATGTGGAAACTGGAAATTGTGGGGTGTGCTGAAGCATGCCCTCTCAGGTCAGTCTAAGCATCCATAGAGTAGACCTGTCTAGCAAAACAGGGAATAGACAGTTAAACCCATTCTGTTGGGAAATACTCTCTCCTTCTAAGTACCTTTAGAACGTGAGTTTCTTCAGTTAATTACTCAACTCATTTGCTTTTCCTGAATGATCCTAAGTTCTTTTCTCAGGCGACATCTGCACTCTGCTCAGTCCAAGGAGAAATCCCTGCCCGCAGATGCAATGACACAGCGTGGCTCCCAACCTCATTTTTCATTGCTTACTCTTATGGTAGCTGCCATCCATGTCCACCCTGCATATTCTTAGAGCTCTTCTGGAGTCCATGGGGCAGACTTATGGTTGAACTAAAGGGAATTTTTTTATAATGCTCTAGCTCCAGATGATTATCCCTAGTATCATTATATTAAAAAAAAAAAAAGGCGTTTTGAAGTAGCGCGATATATCTTCTGTGCCTCAGAATGTGGCACGTGTGGCATGAGAGAGTTGTGAGGCCACGAGGACTGCCCAGACAGCATGAGAACTGTAAGAGCAGAGAGCTATAGGTGATGCAGCGCTATTGGTGCCACCCGCAGGAAGCGGTAGCTGGAACAAAATATGGCCAGAAGAGTGATCAGATTGCGTTTGGTAAGGAACTATTTCATTGGTTGTAGAACTTTGACAAAATGTATATTTATCCGGGGAACTACAGGCCTGTTAGCCTGACCTCGGTGCCAGGGAAGGTTATGGAGCAGATTGTCTTGAGGGAGATCATGCGGCATGTGCAGGGTGACCGGGGGATCAGGCCTAGCCAGCATGGGTTCATGAAGGGCAGGTCCTGTTTGACCAACCTGATCTCCTTCTATGATCTAGTGACCCATCTGGTGGATGAGGGAAAGGCTGTTGATGTGGTCTACCTAGACTTCAGCAAAGCCTTTGACACTGTCTCCCACAGCATTCTCCTGCAGAAGCTGGCAGCCAGAGGCTTCAATGGATACACTCTTGGCTGGGTAAGGAGCTGGTTGGAGGGCCGGGCACAGAGAGTGGTGGTAAATGGAGTCAAATCCAGCTGGCGACCGGTTGTGAGTGGTGTTCCCCAGGGGTCGGTGCTGGGGCCTGTCCTCTTCAATATCTTTATTGATGACCTCGATGAGGGCATCGAGTGCACCCTCAGTAAATTCGCAGATGACACCAAATTGGCTGGAAGTGTGGATCTGCCTGGGGGTAGCGAGGCCCTACAGAGGGATCTGGACAGGCTGGAGAGTTGGGCTGAAGCCAATAGGATGAGTTTCAACAAGGCCAAATGCCGGGTCCTGCACTTCGGCCACAACAACCCCAGGCGACGCTACAGGCTTGGGGCGGTGTGGCTGGAGGACTGCATAGAGGAAATGGACCTGGGGGTATTGATTGATGCTCGGCTGAACATGAGCCGACAGTGTGCCCAGGTGGCCAAGA